TCAAGAAACAAAATCCAACCATATGCTGTTTACAGGAAACCCATCTAACCCAGAAGGATACTCACAGACTGAAAGTCAAAGGATGGAAAACAATTCTCCATGCAGCAGGAATCCAAAAAAAGGCAGGAGTAGCCATTCTGTTTGCAGACAACGTGAACTTTAAACCAACAATGACCATAAAGGACAAAGAAGGTCACTACATACTCGTAAGGGGAAAACTCCAAGAGGAAGAGATAACTATCTTAAATATATATGCACCAAACTCCAGAGCACCCAGTTATATAAAACAATTATTAACAGAAATGAAAACTCAAATTATCAGTAACACAATTGTAACAGGAGACCTTAATACACCACTGACACCAAGGGACAGATCAACCAGACAGAAAATGAGCAAAGAAATAACAGAACTGAATCACACCTGTGAACAAATGGGTTTGATAGACATATACAGAATGTTCCACCCAACAACATCAGAATACACATTCTTCTCAGCAGTACATGGATCATTTTCTAAAATAGACCATATATTAGCTCACAGAACATATTTAAGCAAATGCAAAAAAGTTGAAATCATCCCTTGCATATTATCAGATCATAGCGCTCTGAAATTAGAAATTAATGACAAAAGATACTGCAAAAATTCCACAAACACATGGAAACTAAATAACACACTCTTGAGTAATCAGTGGGTCACAGAAGAAATTAAAGAAGAAATCAAACAATACCTAAAAGAAAATGAAAATGCAGATACAACTTACCGGAATCTGTGGGATGCAATGAAAGCCGTTCTGAGAGGAAAATTTATTGCACTGAGTTCCCACATCAGGAAAACAGAACGAATACAAATAAATAACTTGATGCTACACCTCAAACAGCTAGAAAAAGAAGAGCAAGTCAAGCCCAAAGCCAAAAGAAGAGAGGAAATTATAAAAATCAGAGCAGAAATCAATGCAATAGAGACTAAGAAAACAATCCAAAGAATCAACGAATCAAAGAGTTGGTTCTTTGAAAGAATAAATAAAATTGATAAGCCCCTAGCCAACCTTATTAAAAAAAGGGAAGAAAAAGCTCAAATTCATGCAATAAGAAATGAAAAAGGAGAAATCACTACAGACCCAATAGAAATACAGAGGATCATCAACACCTATTTCGAAAACCTCTACTCTCAAAAGTTTGATAACACAGAAGAAATAGACAGATTCTTAGAAGCATATGAAGTACCAAAGCTAGATCAAGAGGATATAAAACTGTTGAATAACCCAATCTCTGCTAATGAACTTGAAAATGTAATTAAGGCCTTACCCACCAAGAAAAGCCCAGGCCCAGATGGATTCACTGCAGAATTCTACAAGAAATATAAAGAAGACCTAATGCCGACACTCCTCAAACTATTCAATGAAATTGAAAGGGAAGCAATCCTTCCTAAGTCATTCCTGGAAGCAAACATTACTCTAGTACCAAAACCTGAGAAAGACCCAACTATAAAAGAGAACTATAGACCGATCTCCCTAATGAACACAGATGCAAAAATCCTCAATAAAATATTGGCAAATAGGATCCAGCAAATCATCAAGAAGATTATACACCATGACCAAGTGGGATTCATCCCAGGAATGCAAGGATGGTTCAACATACGCAAATCAATAAATGTAATCCACCATATCAATAAAGCCAAAAATAAGAATCACATGATCATTTCTATAGATGCAGAAAAAGCCTTCGATAAGGTCCAACACTTATTCATGATAAGAACTTTACAGAAAATTGGAATAAATGGTCTTTACCTCAATATAATAAAGGCCATATATGACAAACCAACAGCCAGCATCATACTAAATGGCCAAAAATTGAAAGCCTTTACTTTAAAATCGGGCACAAGACAAGGATGTCCTTTATCACCACTCCTATTTAATATAGTACTGGAAGTACTAGCCAGAGCAATTAGGCAAGAAAGAGAAATAAAAGGGGTAAAGATAGGAAAAGAAGAAGTTAAATTATCATTGTTTGCAGATGACATGATACTCTACATAGAAGACCCCCTAAACTCCATTGAAATACTCTTAGATACAATAAATAAATTCAGTAATGTGGCTGGATACAAAATCAATACTCAGAAATCAATAGCATTCCTATACACAAACAACAAAATTACAGAGAGGGAAATAAGAGAAACTGGACTATTCACATTAGCAAGCAAAAAAATGAAATATTTAGGAATTACTCTTACGAAAGAAGTGAAAGACTTATACAGTGAAAATTATAATACACTGAAAAAGGAAATTGAAGATGATCTCAGAAAATGGAAAGACATCCCTTGCTCATGGATAGGAAGAACAAACATTGTGAAAATGGCCATTCTCCCAAAACTGTTATACAGATTCAATGCAATCCCAATAGAAATTCCATCAACATACCTTATAGATCTAGAGAAATCACTCCTAAATTTCATCTGGAACCAGAAGAGACCCAGAATCGCAAAGGCAATTCTAAGCAGCAAAGACAAAGCAGGAGGCATCACAATCCCTGACTTGAAGTTATACTACAAAGCAACAGTAGTAAAATCAACATGGTATTGGAATCAAAACAGAGCCGAAGATCAGTGGAATAGATTAGAAGATACAACCACAACTACGAACACACTCAACCACCTTATCTTTGATAAAGGAGCCAAGCAGGTTCACTGGAAGAACGACAGTCTCTTTAATAAATGGTGCTGGAAAAACTGGCTCTCCATTTGCCGAAAACTAAAGCTAGACCCATTGTCTATCACCATGTACTAAATTAAAATCTAAATGGGTCAAAGATCTGAATATTAAAACAGAAACACTAAATCTATTGGAAGACAAATTAGGTAGAAACCTTGGAGACATAGGAGTAGGTAAAGAATTCATGAACAGGACTCAAACTGCACGGGAAATACTTCCCAGAATCAATAACTGGGACCACTTCTTATTAAAAAGTTTCTGCATGTCAAAAGAAATCTGCAGCATAGTGAAAAGAAAACCCACAAACTGGGAAAAGATTTTAGTGAACTCTCTCTCAGACAAGGGCCTCTTGTCTAAAACATATAAAGAATTAAAGAAACTCAGACCTCCAAAATTCAAAGATCCAATCCAAAAATGGGCATCTGAGATGAATACCCAATTCTCAGATGAAGAAATGCAAATGGCAAATAAATACATGAAAAAATGCTCATCATCATTGGTCATTAGAGAAATGCAAATTAAAACCACACTGAGATACCATCTCACTCCTGAAAGAATGGCCAGGATCAAGAAAACCGACAACAAATGCTGGAGAGGCTGTGGGGAAAAGGGAACTCTCCTGCACTGCTGGTGGGAGTGTAGACTGGTACAGCCTTTGTGGAGATCTGTCTGGAGATTTCTCAAAAAGTTGGGACTGGAAGTCCCATTTATTCCAGCTATTCCACTTCTAGGCATATTCCCAGAAGAACTGAAAGCATCACACCACAGTGATATATGTGCACCTATGTTTATAGCAGCACAATTTGTAATCGCCAGATCATGGAAACAACCCAAGTGTCCATCAACTGAGGAATGGATAAAAAAGTTGTGGTATTTCTATACAATGGAGTATTATTCAGCTATAAAGAAGGATCACATTGAGATATTTATCAATAAATGGGCGCAGCTTGAGACCATACTCATAAGTGAAATAAATCAATCTCGCATGTGTGAATACCGAATAGTTTCCCTAATGTAAGTAATGATTCAAATATATAAAAATATGTGGTAATCATGATTCCCCATTAGGTGGCCTTGGAGCCTTATAAAGTTTTCACTCATTAATTAGAAAGGCTTTATTCTGGGCTTCTTGATTTGAAAATATTTGAAGCTAGAGTATATGAAGTTTTATCCAAATATTTCAAGGAAAAAGACACTATGGTAACTACTATTAAGTCAGGTTATATGGTGGTGAAGTACTAGGTTGTTGAAACAGTCATGCTGTGACCTCTATTGTTATATTGTTATGTCCTGTTTTATCTCAATCTCCCCCTTATTGTTTTAAAAAAATTAGTCATTTCTTATGTTTGTCTTAATTAAAGAAAAAATTCAAATAATTAGGATATATAAATAATAACTCTTTTTGATTTCCTATTAACTTGTTTTGAAGTCCTGTAGTACTCCCACGATCTTGTTTTGACTGATTAGACTCTGTTCCATTCTATATGGTAGTATCAAGTTTGAAGACATAGGCAACTACTTTGAAGACAATAAGATTCACTAAGATACCCATTCTGGTTTGACTATTGTCTTCTTTGGAAGTCCTGTAATGTTTACAATGCCTAAGTTGTATTGGTCTTGTTCTCTACTGTTTTGTCCAACTTTATAATATCTAATGAGATAGACAATTCTTTTTAAGGAAACAAGGGACAACGTTGATAACCATAGTTGATGTTCTACACCATGTGCTATGTCTATCCTTGGTATTGACTGACAGCTTTGTTTTGCCATATTTGACTGTATTCTCCCCCCCCCCTCCCCAAAAGTAATAAGCACTAAGGAGTAATGAAATCCAAAGTGTGTGAATTTTGTTGTAAAAAAGAGAGGGGAAGAAAAAAAAAAAAGAGCTCTAACGGATATAACAGCAAGTGTGTTTAGGGGTGTTAAATAGCTGACTGTATCAATGTTTGTGGATCATTGAACACAGCTGTTTGCAGTCTACCTGTTTGAATGTCCACCTTGTATTCTTTGATGCTGTGATTTGAGGAACTATTTTCAAGATGATAATATGTAATATACTAACAGGTGATTTCTTACTGTTATGTTTTTTTTTGTTTGTTTGTTTGTTTGCTTTGTTTTTGTTTTGTTTTGTTTTGTTTTGTTTTGTAGTTCTGTATTACGTGTACCCTTACACCGCTTTGGTTTGTTTTGTGTTTTTCTCTTTTTCCTCTTAAATAAAAAAAAAAAAAAAAAAAAAACAAATTCATAGAACACATACTTTGAGATACTCATTTCAGAAATAAGTTCAAGTACCTATAACAGCCTTTTTCCTCTCTGTCTCAGCTTCTTTCTCCACAACTTTTTGTTTCTGTGCAGCTATAAGAAGTTTAGTCTTCTCGGCCTCCCTGTGAAACAAAACATAAAAATTAGAACTGCCTTACCCTCCTTCGAGGAACAGCCCAGGGTCCTGCATATGTTATGCAAACGTTCCACCACTGATCTGCACCCCAACTATAGAAAAGATCCTCTTCTGCATGGTCACTGCTTCTAATTCTGACCTTGTACTGGATCAAAGAATCATTTTTCACTGAGAACATTTGGATTCATTAGGATAGGTACAGGAGTATTATTTATAATATAATACAGGAGGCATTTATTTATAATTAATCTGAGATTGCAAAAATAAATGATTTGTCCAAAGTCACCCAGGGACTTAAAAATTTAGTACATTAGAACGTTAGCCGGATATGTCTGTCTTCTAATTGTTACCAAGTAAAAGGCCTGCAATTAGTGTCACAACTAATCAAAAAAAGGCACCAGTCTCTGAGTAGATACTATACCTCAGGCACATAGTACGGCAAGCAGAATGAAGTTGGATTTCAGCAGCAGGCTGACAGCCAGGTATAGTGGCCCTATTTGTTATACAAATGATGTAACTAGATGTAATTAAGACATAATCAGGCAGTAAATTGGGGCTGCATGAAACTTTTTTTTTTTTTTAAGAATTTGAGCTTCAAATAATAAAAATGCTGGCTTATTACTAAGTATCTACAAATGCCTACCACTGTGTGACCACCTGGCAGAAATGATATGAAAAAAGATTACTATTTATGTAAGAAGCCAGATTGGATAATCCCAAGGTAGCATTTAATTCTGGAATTCTAAAAACCTATGAAATTAAGAAAGATCCAGAATTACCTCAGAAGCAATTCTGCCAGCTTCCCCTAGACATTTCCCTCCATGTGACCCTCCCTTCTCCCTGCTAACAGGGATAAAGACATGAAATGGTATTTTGAATATTATAAGTCACTTGAGTGCAGAAAACACATAGTATTCAGACAGGAGTGTAGCTAAGTGGTAGAGTTGGTGCTTAGTACGCACCAACTAGGTTGATCTGCGTTCAATTCCTGGCCTGAAAAATAGGGAAGAAAGGAGGGAGATTCCACATTCATCTTTCTACCAACAGAAGCCAACATAGTTAAAGCTTAAGACATCCTGAGCTTCCAATAAACTTTTTTTCACTCTATAAGTGACTCAGACCCATGATTTATCCAGCCTGGTACTCTATGCTTTATAGTGTTAAAAAGGAGTTTTTCTTCTACAATGAAAAAGAGAAAATAAAATTCTGCATGATAAAAGATACAGACTAGGAACAAAAAGGACTCAAGTATATCATCCCTTAAAGCAGTATTACTACTCCTTGGACCCTCTGCATCTAAACATTTGTTATATTCTTGGATTTTTCAAAGTTATTTTTTCTAGTATCTCGTATTTTCCCCTTCTTTTTAGTACCTAGTATATGAGAAAAACCCCATGCTTACAGTAATTCCCTAAAGGGGATCCTCTAAAACATAAACTAATTTCACATTCAGCAAGTAACTTTTCATTGCCAACTAGGCCTAGACACATGAAAGAAAAAGACTACGAGAAGTCAACTCAAGTTACATTTGCCCAGAGTCAAATTATAAAGGCAGTCTATTATACAATGAAAAACAAACAAAACAAACTTTTACTAACTAAATGTCTACTCTTAACATTATAATAAAGTAACAAAATATGGGCACTCTGTTCAACCTTAATACCTAGGATTATTCTCCTCCTCTTTATGTACAAATTACAGTTCCTATGGCAGTGGTGCAATGGGCTGTTTATATCACTGAAAGCTCTAAAAGATTCACTATCACAGTCCTAAGGGGTCCGGCAAGAGTTCCACAGCAAACTGCTCCTGAAATGATTATACATAAGAAGAAAACTAGCGGCTTGGAGAACATGGCGGACAGATAACAGCAATTACAGAGGCTCTCTGAAAGACTCGGCTCAGAAGTCAGCAAGGGTGTGGAGTAAGGAGACGTAAGCTGGTGGAGATATGCTTTGCTGACTCAGGAATGAACTGGACTGAGAGAAACCAACTTGGAATGCAGTCCTGGTGCTAGAACAGGAACAGAAAAGCCTCAGTGTGAAGGCTGGAGCCCACGCCATTGGAAGCCGCGATTTGGGTTTCCCGCCGCACGGTGGCTGCCTCTGCATCGGCTCGGCAAGGAGAGAGACGCGCAGAAGCTCTGAGAACGGGAATCTGCAAACGGAGTTGAAAACAGGACGGGCAGGGAGGCGTGCACTGACTTGTGGTGAGGTGAGTGAGAGAAACTGACACTCTACCACAGTTTGACTCCAGCGGAGGACATTCTGGGCCCGGGCAGTCCTGTGGGAGCAGGGCGCGATGGCGACTCCAGCCACACATCCCCCTCTCAGGCGGGATTGGTGAAAAGTGCCTGACCTGCGTGACGCTGCTGGCGGACCCAGTAGGCTAGCCCAACCCAGATCCCAGAGCCTGACGGTGGCCTGGAGGGGCGGCCCCGCGTAGGCTGCCTGGTCTGGAACTTCCTGGTGTGCCGCGGTGGGCGGGAACACCTAACCGGCACAATTCGATCAGGCTGCGGCTGACAGGGAGGAGAGCTGGGCCCCCTATATAAGCTTGCATATATAAGGAACAGAGAATATGGGAAGAGGCAGCAACAAGAAAGGCTCCTCGGCCCCCAATTCTGAGAAACAGGCAATAGCGGACACCGCACCAATAGACATAAAGTGCCATCTAGAGAGCCTCATAGACCAGTTCAGGAATGAAGTTATCAATGACCTGAAGCTAGAAGTATGCAGAATAGTTAGAGAAATGCTAAGCACCACCCAAGAAAAAACAGATGGTGGAATGGAAGAACAGAAAAAGAGGGGAGAATTGTTTGATGGAGAAAACAGAGAAAGCATAGAATATGTGAAGCAGGTTCAAAGGGACTACCAAGAAACTAAAAAGTCTATCGAAAACTGGCATAACAGCTTGAAAGAAACTAAGGACAGACTATCTGAACTGGAGGGCAGATTTGTAATATCGGAGAATGAAATGAAAAACTTCTTAAAAATAACAAAGAAACAAACAGCAATAATACAAAGACAAGAAGATGATAAGAGGATCCATAACTTAAGAATTAAGAACATAAAAGAAGAAGTAGGGACACAAACAAATGAACTACAAAAGCTACTCACAGAAATAATCCAGGAGAATTTTCCTAATTTAGCAAAAGGTAAAGATACTAAGATGTATGAGGCATACAGGACCCCAGCTACCTACAACCCAAACAGAGCAACACCCAGGCATATAATAATAAAAATTCCAGAAATTCAATACAAGAACAGAATATTAAAAGCTGTCAGAGACAAGAAACAGACCACTTACAAGGGAACACCCATCAGAATTACAGCAGATTTCTCTGCACAAACCATCAAATCACAAAGAGTATGGGGGGAAATAATTCAAGCTTTGAAAGATAATAATCTCCAGCCAAGATTGAGATATCCTGCACAACTGTCCCTGGAAATTGATGGAAAAACAAGGTGCTTCCAGGATAAAGAGGAACTGGGGGAATTTGCAACCACCAATTCAACTCTACAGAGAGTATTGCAGGATATTCTAAAAAAAGAAAAATACAAAGAATCCAGAAATAGTGGCAGGAAGGCCACAACGAATGGAGCAGAGAACAAAATGAAGAAGACAAACTGACAGCTACTGACAGAAAAAGAGCTCAACAGAAATGAGGCAGAGAAGATTGGATGATAGGAACAGCTATTTTGGAGAAAATGCCATCTTAATAGGTAATACTGATTTAATACCATCTTGTTTTGAAGTCTCATCAAGCTTTTGTTCTTCTGTCTCCATTGGTCTAACTAGGTTGTATCTTATTGGATTTTATTATGTACGATAGTATAAGCAAAAACCTTTTAAAGACAAGGAGATTATACAGAAATCATTGTTCATTTTCTGTTAGTCGATTCTAAATACCCTGTAATGCTGTCATTCTCTTAAATGGTTTTACATTGTTTTGATATATTTAATGCTACAGTATACGAAGTTGTACTCAAGGATTTCAAGGAAAGAGACAATATGGTAACTACTTTTATGTCAGGATTATCTGGTGGTGAAACACTATTCTGCTTAAATGGTTATGTTTTGATCTGAGCTGTTTTTCTGTTATGCCCTCTTTTATCTCAATCTCCACTCCATTATTTACTTTATTATTTTTATCCTTTTAATTAAGGGAAAAATAAATAAAAATAGCAGGATATATTATAGTAACCCACTTTGAGTTTCCATTATCTTGATTTAAAGCCCTGTACTACTCTCACCATCTTGTTTTTGACTGATGTTCCCCTATTCTGTTTTGCTGGATAGTATCAGGTTCGAAAGTTTAGGCAACAGCTGTGAAGATATTGAGATTCATTATGACGCCCATGCTCGTTGACTTTTATCTACTTTTGAAGACCTACATCGTCTCCAATGTTTTGGTTTTGTCGGTTTTGTTCTTTACTGTTTTGTTCAATTTTATTATAACTAATGATATAGGCAATTCTATTAGAGATAGCGGGAGGCATTATGGTAACCATTGTTGATCACCTTGTATTATGTTTTTACATTATCTATTATGTCCACCCTTTTGATTTGACCGATTCTGTTCTGTTATGTCACATTTGGTTTTACTCTCTTCCAAAAAAGTAATAAGAACCGTGGGAGCAATGAAACCCAAAATGTATAATAGTCATTGTACAAAAGAGAGGAAAAGAAAGTGCTCTAAACTATATAACTGCATGTATATTTAAGTGTATAAGATAGAAAATGATGTCACTGAGTTTTATTGGATCATTGAACAGAACTGTTTGCAGTATCATTGTTGGAATGTCCACTTTACAAGCTTTAACTTTGTGACTTGAACAATTATTTCTAAGATGACAATATGTAATCCATTAACTAGTGATTTCCTACTGTTTATTTTTTTTTCTGTAAATCTGTATAACTTGTAAAAAAAAAAAGAAAACTAGTAAGAGTACAGGGGGAGTAAACAATGAACACAGTATCACTAAAATAGAAATATAAATATTTCATCAACTTGAGTGTATTATCTCACAAATGTTTCATTAATATGCAGACAACTCTAAACACAAACATTAGAGTCCCATGCAAGTTACTTACATTAACTCAAAATTTCTTCTTATGGCTTCTGGGATTTTAGGTTTTGTAACACGTACAGCCTAAATAAAAAAGAGTGATAAGCCTTAAATATATTGAAAAATAAGTCTTCACACATCTTCTACAAGAATTCCCCAAATCATACTAACGAAACAAGTAAAATACAGCTGCCTACCAACATGCCAGGATCACACTAGGAAATCTATTATCACACCAAGAATCAAAGATAAGCTACTTGTTGCCTTAAAAAAAAATGACTATGGGAGAAGAGCTACTGTATTCTTGAAGAAATAAATTCTCTTAGATACAAGTTCCCTTAAAACAAAAAACTAGGTCACCAAATGCAATTTAATATACTGCCTAGCAAGTAAATTAATGTATCACTTCCTAAAACCATGCTCACTCAGAACTATAAGAGTCAAATGCCTGAAAGATATGAAATAGCAATTCAGAGTTTGCATTTCTTCTTCCTGGACTCTCACTTCTAATAGCGCACCTGTTGCTGTGGACATTCTTCACTAGATATTTTGTTTCTTTAGTAGGTATACTTTGATAATTATTTCTCTACTTGGAAAGTACAATTTTTTGAAGGCTGTCTTATCCCACGGATTTGATCTCTCAACAGCTCCATTTTACTTAACATCCTGTATCCCCACCTATACTACAGACACATACACAAAAATACTTTGCTGCTCTGAAGACTTCTCAATAAAAACTGGATAATTATATTAGAAAATCCTTTAAGCACAAGGACCTTAAAATAAGGAATTAAAAACTTTTAAGCAACATATGAAAGGTAACAGTAAAGTCTGCAGCTAATTTTTGAGGCTACAGTCAACTATTGGTAAGGATTACAGTGGAACACAGTATGAAGATGGGGCCTACACAAAGACCTCATCATAGGCAAAGCATGTCAGGCCATAAATACAACTCAGTGGAGACACTCAGAAGGCAAAAATTCTGAGCCAGAGTTTATGAAATGAGATTTCACTACGTGACTGCCAGATATGCAGATGACTTCCAGAACCATTGTTACACTACATTTCATTCAGAAAGTGATTGGCTATGTTTTATTTATTTATTTATTTGTGGTACCAGGGATTGAACTCATGACCTTGCACTCGCCAAGCAGGGGCTTATGCCGCTGAGCTCCAGCAATTGGCTATGTTTTAGTATTATGAAAAGTAATATATATTAGGACTAATTTTGAATACTCAATAGCACACTCATGCAGAATGAGTGGGAAGGAGGGGTGCTGATAAAATGAAAATACTTATTGAAACTGACTCCTGGGTGATAGGCATATAATTAGTTATGCCATTAAATAATACGGGAAATAATGTCAAGGATGACTTCACCATTCTAATTTGTCAGAGTAGTTTTCAAAAGGAAAAAGGTATGAAAGTAGGCAAAGGAAAAATTAAAATGCTTAATCGTATAGAAAATGCTCACTTAATAAAAAGAAATATTTTCAGATACCTCTTTATGCAAACTGCTATTCTAAGCATCGTGGATACAATAGTGAAAAAAGCAGAATTACTCTCATGAATTAAAATTTTTAAAAAGAGATATCAAAAAGCAAATAAATGAAAATGAAAAAGAGAATTCCACAAAATTATGAATACTATGTGAATAATTAAAATAGAATTATTCAGGGATTGAAAAAGTACTAGGATGGAGAGGGGGAAATCAAAACTTGTTTTCATATAATTATGTGATTCAAAATCTAAGGAAATTAACCCTCTAAGTTACTAGTGATAGTAAATTCAACAAAGTTGCAGATATATAATAAATTCATCAAAAACAAATTACATTCCTTGATTTTATGACTTTGCAATACTAGGGAGTGAAGCCGGGACGTGCTACCATTTAGCTACACCGCTGAGCCATCTTCCGTCTGCTTTTTGAATCCTGACTCAGGGTGCTGCTACTTGTAACTCTCCTTCTGCAGTTTCCGGAGTAGCTGGCATCATCAGCCACCACATTCAGCTCTGAAATGTTTTGTCTTCTTTTTTAAATTTTTGTTTTTTGGTACCGGGAAGGGAATTGTACACCTTACACTTGTCAGTCAGGCACTATATGCTGAGCTAAATCTCAGCCCTGAAATGTTTTTGTTTTTTAAAAGAGAGACTATTTATTGAATAGTATTGAAACTCTTTACAACCATAAGTACTAATTTAACATAAGATAAGAATCTCTCCCCCAACTGAGAATTTTTTTTCCTTTTTCCTTTTTTTTTTTTTTTTTTGAGACAGGGTCTCACTATGTAGTGCAAGCTGGCCTTGAACTCACTTATGTAGCTCAGGCTAGCCTTGAACTCACAGAGATCCTCCTGCCTCAGCCTCCCAAGTGCTGGGATTATAGGTGTACGCCACCACACCCGGCTTGAATTCATAAATTCTGAAAGAAGCAAAAAGAATATGATCGAGTCAAGTCACAAACTATATTCTCATTTTACTACTTAACTGCCAATTTATACCTGACATAGCTTGAAAATCAACGATGAAAACTTATCTGGCAGAAATATCAAAGGCTGTTATTTTTTAAAAGATGATGCATTTTACTACATTTTAAAACAGAATAAAAAGTTGAATTATCACAACCACATGGTAATCTGCTAAAAAGAGTAAAACTGAAAAAAAAAACCAAAAAAAAAAACCAAAAAAAACCAGACTGGATAAAAGCTGCATTCCAACTAACAGAAAGTATTGAGCAAAACTAAACCAACCAAACAGAGACCTTGTCTAGAATGCACTAGACCATGTTAAGAATGCACTACAGTTATATCATACACAAATATACTATAATGAATGTTATTATGCATATCTAAAAACGTACCAATAAAAAAGGAAAAAAAGAATACATTACAATTATTTGTAGATGATGAGATACTCTACATAAAAGACCCAAAGAAGTGTGCCAAGAACTCTTAGAATAACCAACTTCAGCAACACAACAGGACACAAGATCAACATACAAAAGTCATTAGCTTTTCTGTACACCAATAAGCTCAGTGACAAGGAAATTATGAAAATAATATCATTCATAGTAGCCTCAAGAAAAATGAAATAGCCAGGAATTGGCCTGGATGTGAGACAGCTCTACAAAGAAAACTACAGTACTGTACTCTGAGACGGGAGGCTGACAAAGACATCAGAAAACAGAAAGAGGTTCCCTGTTCTTGGATAAGATGAACCAATATTGCAAAAATGGCCATACTCCCAGAACTCCTATTCAGATTCAATGCAATCCCAATCAAAATACTACCAGTGTATTTTATAAACTAGAGAAAATACATAATCCTAAAATTCATATGGAATTAGAAGAGACCTAGAATAGCAAAAGCAACTTAGGGCAACAAGGGCAAAGCAAAAGGCCTTGCAGTACCTAAGTTTAAACTATTCTACAAATCAACAGTGATAAAAATGGCACGGTGGTGAACAAAAATAGACACATGGATCAATGGAACCAGAAAAAAGGATAGACACATCTCCAGATAATTCAGCTACTTTATCTTTGACAAGAGGGTCACAACATAGTTGCAGGAAAGATAGCCTATATGACAAATAGTGCTAGGAAAACTACCTGTTTGCAGAGGATTGAAACCGGACCCTCTCCTCTCACCATATACTAAACTGAAATTAAATGAAACAAAGATCTAAACATTAAAATAGAAATATTAAATCTACTGGAAGATAAAATAAGTAAAACAGATGAAAAATACAGGTGTAGGAAAGGATTTCCCAAACAGAACCTCAACTGCCCAAGAAATAACACCAAGAATCAACAAATTGGATTATATCAGATTTAAAAACTTTTGTATAGCATAAGAATTGCTAGTTGGGGATTTAGCTCAGTGGCACAAGTGCAAGGTCATGAAGCTTGATCCCTAGTAACACTCTCCACCCCCACCCAAAACCAACCAAACAAAATAACCCAAACAAACGAACAGAATTATTACTACAGTAAAGCAACAACCTACAGAATAGGGAAAAATTTTTGTCAGCTACTCCTCAGACAGAAGACTAATATCTAGAATATATGAAAAACTCCAAAAAAAAAAAAAAACCACCCTAAAATAAAAAACCCAGTCAAAAAATGGGCAAGAGACATAACAGACATTTCACAGAGAAAGAAATTCAAACAGTCAACAAATATATGAAAAACTGTTCAACATCTCTAGTCATCAGAGAAATGCAAATTAAAACAGTACTAATATTCCTTCTTACTTCAGAAAGAATGACAATCATTAAGAAATCAAACAATAACAAATGCTGCTGTGACGGTGTTAAAAAAAAAAAAAAAAAAAAGGAACCCTTCTTTATTGCTGATGGGAATATAAACTAGTAAAACCACTGTGGAAATCAGTAGGGAGATTTCTCAAAGAACTGAAATTAGAAATTTCACACTACCCAGATATTCCCCTTTTAGGACACTGCATTATAGCAATACATGCATACCAATGTTTGTAGGAGCACAATTCAAAATAGCTGAATCCTGGAAACAGCCTACATATCCAACAGATGAATGAATAAAGAAAATGTGTTATCTATACAGAATGGAATACTACTCAGTTAAAAAGAATGACAAATTTGAGACACCTATAGGAAAATCAATGCACCTGTAGGAAATGAATGGAAAATATAATGTTGAGTGAAATGAAATGGACACACAAACTTAAATACTGTATGGTATCTCTCACTTGAATCAGGTAAAGTACAAAGAGAATAATAAAGGATAGAAAGGTACAAGGGGACGGACCTCTTGCAATAGGGAAGTGGTCCAAGGGAACAAGGATGAGAGGTGAGGAGGAGGGGAAGAGGTAATTTAAATAGAATGTACGGAAAGATGTCACGTACAAGTACCTAATAACCTCAGTGAGTGTAAATATCATATGACATAACATGAGCTAAGTCTAATAATATCAGTAGGAATGAAAATCAGGATAAGGGAATCAGAGGAAGGAGAAGTAGAAAGGAGAAAGGGATTTAAAAAAAAGAAAAGCTGTAGTATGTGTATGTATCCACTTCCCAATATGACTCCAAACTGCATGTACTGCAAACATGTACAGGACTGATAAAGTTTTTGTAACTATTTTCAATAAAAAAAAAAGTTCAAAAGTTTCTTCTTGATGCTGGCTGTATAGAGAAAATTAAGTGGGCAAGGATAAAAGTGAAAGTAGGAAAAAAAGATAGGAGGCTAGCAATGCAGGCAATAATTATTTAGAATACCATATTATTCTTCAACAAAAGGATTAAGAAAGAGCTTACTTCTGCTAACTGGGGACAATCACACGAGCAACTGTATAGGAGCTATGGCTCACCAACATTGCTAATGAGAGAGTATAAGCTGGGAAAATTTTTTGAAAGGTAATTTACCAGTATGTATCTAAAAAAACCCCAAACAGGGAATACATCTTGACTCATCAATTTCACTGTTAAGAATTTTTCGTAGGAGCCAGATGTGATGGCGCACTCCTAACACCCCAGCACTTGGGAGGTTGAGGCAGGAGGATTGTTGCAAGTTTGAGACCAGCTTGGGCTACAACATGAGCCCAAAGCCAGCCTGAACTGCGTAGCAAGATCCCATCTCAAAAAGACAAAAAAAAAAAATTTTTTTTATTAGAGGGAAAAGATGTATAGATAAGCCTGGTCACTGCAAAATGTATGTGATAGTAAACAAAAATCAGAAACCATATAAATTCACTAAACATAAGCATTAAAACTGATGATGTTAGGAAATCTTTGACTTGCAAAGATTTATGTGCTTATACTACAGTGAAAAAATGCAGGTATGGTGAAATTCTACTTTACTTTATTTAGTAGGTACACACATATATCTGTTCCTATTTTTGTTTTTTGTTACCAGGGATCAAACTCACGACCTCACACTTGCCATGCAGGTGCTTATGCCCACTGAGCTAAATCCCCAGCCTGTTTCTACATTTTTAACAAGAGTCTGCAAATACACAACAATGTTATCTTACACAATAAAATTACTGGTATATTTAATTTTGTTCTTTGTCATTTTAACACCCAACTTTTTCCTACAACATATATGAATGTGTGTAAAAATACCAGAATATAAGCAGAACTACTACAAATCAGTTTTTAAAAATCCAACAGAAAAACAGGAAAGGGTATGAGAAGGCCATTAGCATAACAATATAAATGGCCAATAAAAATATCAAAATGCTCAACCTCATTAACTGTAAGTCAAACACATATTCAACCATACACTTATTTATAGGGCAAAACCTAGCAAGTCTGATTGTTCCTAATCCTGGCGAAGTCCTATAGAAACAAGTATTTTCATACACTGCTGAGAAGAACATGGACTTGTACAGTCACTTTGAAAGATAATTTGAACAAGAACATACAAAGAATATTTACTATAGTAGTTTCTTCATATCAAAAAATGGGAACAGATAAATGGTTAAGTAATAATGTAAGGTCAAAGAATTCTGGTCAGTTGTTAAAAAGAATAACCTGTAGCTCCAAGAAACAACATGGGCAAAATCTAAGAATCTTTAACATTCCCATTACGCTATTCTAAAATTATAAGGCTACTCCAGCCACAAAAGACTGGACAACCAGACTTTTGGAAATTCCAGGTCATCCCTTAGCTTTGGTGGTTTACCCTCAGGCATCTAAGATAACTAGCAGGAACAGGCCACAGGGAATACCCAGTCCATCTGTCCAGTCTCATTTATGAGAGTACACACATCATCACTTACTCTGAATGCACACTCTTAGCATCAAGTGCCCTTAAGCAAAAAGAATTAAGTAACTTGAGATACCTGACAAAACCTTATTTTTAGCTGCAGTTATGCTTACAATTACCAACTGATCTCTTAGGGCTCTGAAAAAGGATGCTGGAGAAGCCATGCTATTACTTTTAGTGTAAGCCAGATCTAAAACAGTAATTTCAAATGTTTTTGACCATGGACACAGTCACAAATGCATTTTGCAGTGAGCTTAGTATAAATGCCCACTCTCACACTTATGTAAAACAAAAGGTATGCAGTATACTTTGTACATGTGTTTCTTTTCCTATTTTACTCTAGGAACAAGTGACCCACTAAAATTGCTTTTAAAATCCACCAGGTGATTTCACCTCACAAGCTGAAAACACGATGACCCAGAAAAGCAGGAGGTATCTCATATCACTCTAGCTCCCAATTCTACTGCCCTTATTGCCACTAATTCATTTGTTATTTTGCTTCACTCAGGTTATCTCGTTCACTTAAAATACCTTTCTTACTTCTTTCCTCCATATAAATCCAATTAATTTTTTCACAGCTACCTAATATCTCAACTCAACCATGGTCCTATGTACACTCTTGAGATGTCTGTCCTCTCACAAAAATAACTTTCCAAGGGGCTGGGGATTTAGCTCAGCAGCATAAGCGCCTGCCTTGCAAGCAGGCAGTCGTGAGTTTGATCCCTGGTACCGATAAAAAGGAAAAAGACCAAAAAAAAAAAAATAAAAAATAAAAAAAAATAACTTTCCAATGAATTCACCTTACTCTTGATACGTATTTTGACTAGAATTACTATTTGAACTTTTTCATAAGCTTACTGACAACATGGCCTACTCATACTGATTAATAACCACAACTGTGTTATTAAGAATGTAGGGAAGAAATATAAATTTTGTTTCTCTGTAAAAGCCTTAGTGAATCAATTCCCTCTAAGAGTTCACAAGAATGTTATCCCTGGTAAGCTACAAGAGTATTTTTTTCATTTTGGCAGAGACTTAAAAAGTCAAATTGAGGAAAGTATTCTATAAACTACCATAATACTTCACTTAAATTACTGCTGAATATCCTTTTAAGAATATATAAGAAAATGCTACCCATGGTAAGCTATGAAAGTATATTTTTCATTTTGGCAGAGAATTAAAGTCAAATTGAGAAAAGTATTCTATACATCACCACAGTACTTCACTTAAATAATTACTGAATAAAAAATCAGATAAAAACGAGGATTAAATTCAAAGCTCTCAGAGAACTTTCCTAGGAAAAGAGCTTACCTGTATAGTGAGACCTGGGGCCATGATGTTTAAATCTTTCTGCAGTGCTTGTTTCAGGTTTTCATCTATCTGATCTGTTTTTGAAGCCAGGAACAACACATCTTATGATACTCAATTCTATTTTTTACTTCATATTAATATCAAAACAAAACCAGTCAGTATACAATCTAAAGTTTTCACAGAATTATTTCTTACAAGGATAGTCTCTCATATATAAGACATATGAAGCAGTTTTTCTTTTGTGTGGAAGAAAAGTATGAGAAATTATCTAATAAGAAGATGACAGGTGCTTTATTAAGGTTACCCCCCAAAAGTTTATCTAATAAACTCATTTAACTTAACTCTGGATAAACTTAATTTATTGTATAAAATCAATTTATTCAATAAACAAAGAATCTATATTTCCAGTATCTTAATTTGGGGTTCATAATATATATCCTGAGTCTCATAAAAAAACAAAACTAATTTTCAGTCAATCTCTACTCAAATTCCAAAATAACTAAACTTCATTCCTGTCAACTTCTGCCTTACTATTATTTTGGATTTACAAAGAAAGAAAAAATTCATAGGAAAGTCTTTGGCGCATACACAAAATGAATAGTGAAGAGGTGTCACTTCATTCGATCTTGTGACTTCAATGGTACTTCATCATGAAAACAACCAGTGACGTGACAAATCTAGAAAAATTTGTTTCTTCATATGCCACTGCAGTGCTTGGCAACCAATTATCAAAGAGGAGTCAACTGGTGGACTATGAAGTGATTAGCCATTCCTATGCCTCCTTTAATTCACTAAAAATTCCAGAGGGAAAGTGAGGACCAATGCCAACAATCCACTCCATGGTTAGAACTTTATTACGAATGAAACTTGTGAAGGAGGTTGTCATGGTTTATGTCTAAGGCCTCCAGGTCTCATGAGTTTGCATTGTGTATTTGTGACTGGTTCATTGTCTAGTGCTTGGATTGATGGTGTCAATGCTCCACCCACATAGGGGTGGAGCCAGGATGTGATGTAATGGCAGGAAGAAGGTGTGTCTTGCTCTTTGCAGGTTCCTGTTTGCAGCCGCCATGAAGGGCAGCCCAGCCATGCCTGCCTGCCTGAGAGCCAACTGAGTGTGGACTGAAACCTCCAAAAACTGTAAGAAATAAAACCTTTCTTTTCCCAACTTGGGCATCAGGTATTCTGTCTCAGCGATGAGCATAAAGTAACTAAGACAGAAGTTAACATAGCAAGTTTCAGACTGTGACCCTTAGGAAAATTTGTGAACTGGCTATTGTTTGGTACCTGGGAACTTGGATTTGAAGAGTCTTTCCACCATCTCCAGAACTGATACTAGTGGCTCACTGTGGCTGAATTGTTCATACAAAAACAATGTGGTTATGCTGAACACATGCTTCCTTCTATGAGCCTGGAAGCTTGGTACGTGTTAAGTAGAGGGTGCACACATGGCCAGCCCTCAGTAAAAGCCCTGGGCACTGAGTTTCCAATGACCTTCTTTGGTAGACAATACTTCATTTGTGCCATCACAAGTTGTTACTGGGCAAATTAACTACACACTGTGTGACTTCACTGTGAGAAGACTCTTGGAAGTCTGTATCTGGTTTCCTGCTGACTTACTCTATATATCCCTTTTCCCGGTTTTGTTTCATATCCTTTGATTGTAATAAATCCTAGCTATGTACACAACTATATGATAAATCTTGTCAGTCTTCTTATCAAATCTTGGACATGGGGCTAGATCCTGGGGAGCCCCAAACATGGACTTCTCAATATCCTCAAATTATCTATTAAAATAGCATTAAGGCTACTTACCAATAAGTTATCACAGCAATATCAGAATAAAGTTTTTCTAACCTCTACAAAGTTATAAGAAATTATAATAAGATAAAAAGTATTTTAAGACAATTACTATGTTATAAATTCAGAATAAACTAATAAAAGTTTAGTATTATTATAGCAATAGTAAATGAGCTGAATAAGATTTCTAATTGCAAATGACATATCTGAAACAAAACAAGAGACTTACCAAACAATTCAATGTAAACTTCTTGAAGTGTGTGAGCACTGCAAAACTGGTTCAGCTCATGGTGGATTTTATTGAAGATTAAGGTCTTGTCATAATCTGCAGTATAGTTCCTTACAATATCAAACACTGGAAGAGAGGTACAACTCATGTTTGTTTTATCCAACAATGACCCAAGTATCTCTGAATTCACTTAAGGTAAGAGTTAGGAGTGGTACATTACACACAAGTAAAAGTGTAAAAAGAACAATGAAAGTATAAAACTCACAAACCTTGATGTGTTCTCTGGGCTCTATTTTCCAGACATTCTTGTATTCACAACACTATGTGCAAACTTCAAATTCCATATTAAGGAAAGTGTGTATTATTTTGCAGTTAATAAAAGTTTTCAAGTAAGGGCATGACATAGATCTATTCTCTGACAGCATTGTGAAGATGAACTGAGAAGTATAGAGAGCACAGGCAGTGGTAATGTTAAGGCAATTACTGCAAAGCAAAACTTTAGCCAAGAAGTAAAGAGGTAGTGAATTAATTGAGAAACAGTGAGAATCAGAGAAGGAAGTAGCTGGTAAAGTCCATTTCTTTAAAAAAAAAAAAAAAAAAAAGGTAGCTTTTAAAAGCTGTATAAAAGACATCAGGCTAAAAGGGAAAGGGGCTAACATATACTGAACTACACTTTATATCAGGCAATTTATAAACATTACCATTTATCCTCAACAAAAACATCTCCTGATTGTTCATATTTGGAAACATAAAACTATAAAATTTCAGAAATGTCTGCAAAGGTACATACTAGATCACTTCAGGGCATGACCTAACTACTAAAACATGCAATTTTCTGTGTTTTGTCTTCAGACCCTAGAATATGCTCCACTGGCCTTGCTATTTGAACACTGGATAGATGCAACTAGATTCCAGATCACATTTGATGGGTAAGTCATCAATAAATAACTGCTAACTAAATCATTGGTTTGATCACTTTCAAAGGATTGGTGATCTAACAATTTCCTTTTATCTCTGATTAAAAAAACTATTTTATTGTTCCATTTTCAAACATAACCCATTCCCATGATTTGTGAAAAGTTTGTCCCCTTCTATCCATGGGAGATTGGTTTCAACAACTCACAGGGATACCAAAAGCTTAAGTCTCTTATATAAAATGGCATATAAACTATATACATTCTCTCATATACTTTAAATCAACTCAGATGGCTTACTATACCTAGCATGATATAAATTCTAGGTAAATAGTTGTTATACTATATTGCTTAGGGAATAATGGACAAGGGAAAAAGTGTACATTTAGTGGAAAATGTAATTTTTTTCCTATTTTTGATCTGTGGTTGAATCTGTGGATGTGGAACCCATAGGGCCAACTGTAGGTGGAAAAAAGATGTGGAAAATACTTAAAACTTAAAAAAAAAAAAAAAAAAAAAAAAAAAAAAAAAAAAAAAAAAAGGTTCACTTGACAGTAACACATATGCTGCTCTCTGCTCTGAAATCTGTTCACCACCTGTGCTCTGTACTAGTAATGTGAAGTTTGGCATGACTTTACACTGTAATGTAACTTGTGTTAGTCTGTATTCCATCATCTAAAGTAAAATAAAAACTCCTTGAATGTAAAAGCTGTAACTTTACCTTTTCAGGTGTTCTTGCCAAAGTGTCCCCTACATACTATCAGGAAAAGATAAAATGGCTTATGTTCTTTAAGTTCTAATTTCAGTTTTTGAATTAAACATTAACCCTGTACCTCTGTGGGTTTTCACTTTTTGCTAAGAAAATGCTTTCCATACACTGAGGACTTTATTCCTCAAGTTATAGCAAATCTCAACTAGGAAAGATTTCTTATGGTGACAGATGAGTGAGGGCCAAGGAATTTATCAGTTACAGATTTTTAGCATGAAAGGAAATTATCTCTCATTCTGATGGGTAAAATATTATTTTTTCATTGTAAAAACAAAGACTATCGTGCTCTTAGAAACACTAAGCCTAGAAAAGACTAGCTGCAGAAAGCCCTTTCTGTCCTGAACTTGTCCACCATTTCTACCTCTTTAGAAATAAAAAAGTTCCAATGATTACCCTTATATTTATCAGTAATCAATGTGGTTATAAAACTTTAAAAAAGTATCTTCCTATTCCTTAAGGAATCTCTCAGTTATAGATATCCTGGTTATCCAACTACAAAAACAACAGAGGATAACATACCTGCATAAGGAGCCAACATATTAACCACTTCTATTCGGTCAATATAGATCATGACCCCACCACTAAAAATAAACAAATGGGAAAAGTGTGAGTCACTAAAAGGAATCTACTGTAATCCAAATATTGCACTCTTTTTAGTCCTCCTCATAATCCAGAAAGTTATATTTGTAATCCCAATAAAATTTAATTGGAATTCTGGCAAGTTAATTATAATCTACCACCTCAAATGCAACCCATAGGAAGAATAAAAACGCTACAACATAGTTACGGGGAGCCAGCCAAGTCTGATCCAAGTGAGGCTATATGGACAGAGGCCTTTATCCAAGACCTCTCCTAGAATTTATTATCTCATAAAGAAGAGAGTGGTTCAAGGCTGAGTGACAGCAAGGATGGCAGGAACTATGTGAATAACTTGAGCTGGCTGGCCAGGTGGGGAGAAAAGCATCTTTGCAATATACAGGGACAATATACAGAAGGACCAGTCTGCATAACTCATTAGGATACCATGTGAATGGTTTTGGGAGGCTGTTGTTAACATTTCTAATATGTAAACTTTCATGTCCTGGGGAGTGATAGCCTCTTTTTATAAGGCTCATACCTGGTTGACATTCCTGCAGCTAGTTGGCTCTGCCATCCCATTGCACTCAATGTTTTACAGAGAACAAGATGTGATGTGAGGAAACAAGAAACTGTTAGGTTGGCCTCTTGGCCAGCTTTATTTGCATTGTTTATAGTCAGTTGAAGGGAGAAGGAAATACATAGCCAGCTTTGTACATATCAGTACATGGAAACAAGATTCAACTAATGCTAAAACAACTGTTCTGCATTCAAGTGGAGTTGCTCAAACTAACTCCTACAGAATCAATAATAGGGAGAATGTGATAAATACACAAAACTTAAAACATAAAGAGTTTGGTTCTTTTTCAAAAAGTAACTTTTACAGCTTAGATCTAAGATGTCCTCCAAGGCTCTTACTCAAGAGGTTGGGCCTGGTTGGAAGAAGCAAGACCACAGCGGGTACGATTTGGAAAGATGTGTGCTTGCCTCTGGCCCCTCCCCCCTTTCTGCTTCCTAACCACTATGGCATGGGCAGCTCTTCCACCAGGTGCTTCTGTCACTATTTCTGGCCAACAATGGACTGAACCCATAAAAATCTAGACTAGTAATATTTTGGATCATTTAAAATAGATAATTTTTAAAAATTATGAACTTTACATTTTTCATTCAATATAATTCAATGTAGTAAGGGTACTATAGAAACAACTTGGACCTTGCTTGCTTTTTTATCCCTAAACCTCTTAAGGGTAGCAATTCTCAAAGTGAATCCTTAAGTGTGTTAAGATAGAAAACCGTATTACTAAGTTTTTGTTGGATCACTGAACACAACTGTCTGCAGTCTCACTGTTTGAATGTCCACTTTGTATGCTTTAATTTTGTAACTTGAACAACTATTTCTAAGATGACAAAATGTAATCTGTTAACTAGTGATTTCTTACAGTTTTGGACAAGCATTGGGTTAGGTACTTTATATGTAGACATTCCTTATTTAATGACTGACTTCTGGTCCTGTAACTAGGTTATTAAATGAATTGGTTACTAAATGAAGAATTGTACATTGTATTAATATATTCAAAAGAAAGAAGTGGTCAAAGGAAACTCCAACTTGATAACTTTGGTTTTATTTGCACAACACTTGCATACAATACTATAATGTGCAACAGAACATAAAACTTTAGTACTGTACAGTATAATCAGCAAAAATTACAGTACTGTAGGAACAAATTGTACTGTACAAAAAGACACTGAAGCTCTGTAAACAAGATATACAGATCTGTACTCCACTGCCCAAAAAAGGAAAATCTGAGTGGTCTGTCTTGAATTTAAACAGCACAACTTGGTCCTAAGTCCAGTCACTAAATGGCTAAGTCATTAAATGAGGAACATCTGTTCACTAATATTGATCTTTACATTAACTCTGCAAAGTAAGAACTATTACTGTACCTGATTTTTACAAATGTTGGCACCAAGCACAGAAAAGGTAAGGCGTTTGTAGTGTATAAGAGGGGTACAGAAAAACTCACTGTATTTTGTGTTCAATTTTACTATACACTTAAAACAGCTCCAAAAAATAAAAGTGAATTAAAAAAAATAGTCATTAAAGCAGGTATCAAATGCCAATATAGAAAGTTAGGTCTGCTGGCTCTAAAACTCCACTTACTTCTATTTTAATAATGCTTTACTGTTTTGTAAGACAGAAAGCTCCTATTTGGAGAAAGGTCTTGCTTGCTTTTTGCTCAGACACTTACAACAGAAATTCCTCTCTTACTGTTATGTCTATCTGAAAATGTCTAAGTGATCACAGATTTAGGAACAGAAACTCCATCTGAATTATAGAGAAGACTGGTCAGCAAAAAGAAACCTTACCTTGTCCCACAAGGCACATTTTTAACTTCATCAGTTTGTAGTGTTGTCTAGGGAAGAAAAAATAGCTCAATAAACTCAGGATAACCATTGTCAAAGAACTGCTAGTCCCAGAGGTAAACCACTAGAGAGCTGCTGAAAGTAAGTACAGAAGAGCTCCATTACAATTTTAGTTCCCCAAAGATTAGCTTTGACAGTAGTGACTTCTTTTCATATCCTAGAAGAAATGAGATTTGAGACAAAATATTTTATAGCTAAGGAATTAATAAAAATGCACTAAAAGATTCAATCAATATTCAACCTGTTACTAAGTAGAAAATACTTTTCAATGAGTCTTTTATTTGCCTGGAGTTGGCCTGGGATTGAGAACGAACAGCTCACCAACGATACCATGGCTATGATTTCTGTTCTGAACTTTGATTCCAATGCTAATATTACTGTTTACACTAAAGATAAAAGGTAACTATTTTATGCGTACAAGCGTCCTATGACTCAACGCTGCCCTTGAACTCAACAGCAAACTTTTTTCTCTAAAGCCATACTCAGTATTTTAGTTCAGTGATTTCTCATGTATTCTGTTCAGTTTCCCTTTTAATACAAGTGCCAGCATTAATACTGCTTCCTTCTACTAAGCCAACAATCTAGTTCTTAATTGCTTTGCCATGACACACCTTTGTTGAATCCAGAATAACTTTCTATTGTACTCTAAAAGCCTCAAAGAGCTCAGCACCTAATGAGTATATTCTGGACGCACTGTACTTAATAAGCAACAGTAGCATGAAATAGAATATTTCACTTCATGAAATAGAAAAAAGAAGCACAGTTTCTGTTTTCAAAAAAATTACAATCCAGCACAAGACATAAAATTCTTAAAACAATCCACCAACAGGCACAAAATAAACATAAACCAAACTGTTAGGAGTTAAATTACAAGAAATAAAATGATAATTTTAAAAGGTCTCTCAAGTATAAGCTAGATCTATAGAGGGAGAACTAAGAGGAGAGTAGGCACAAGTACATATTCAAGTACAACTTCAATAAATGTCCATTCTCATACACAAAGCTGAAGACATACTGTGTACACATAGATCAAGTTGTTTGAAGCAGAAGGCACAGTTTAGATAAGTGGTGAATTCTAAGAAAACAGTATGACGATATCACGTAGAGAACCCTGAATGCTGGCTAGGGGGTAAGACTACATAAAATTTGAATCTTTCAAAAAAACCAAAATGTCAGGCTCGGGACGTGACTCAGTGGTAGAGCACCTGCTAGCATGCACAATACCTGGACTCAACTTTTAGCACTGCAAGAAAAAAAAGGAAAAAAAGGTTTTTGCTTAATTCCTTTGCTTACATGTAATGTGGTTCTCATTATTATTTATCTTACTTGAAGGTAAGACAATCAGGTGGGAAGTTAAAGGATAAACTTACTTAGGTTAATTTAGTAAAGACCATGAAAACTGAAAGCTGTCAATACATAGTAACAGAAGGATATGCTTGGACATAAAATTCCAAGATAAAAAAAAAAATAAAACATAAATCTTGGGTTGACAGATTAGGCAATGGTAAATGTTAGGGAACATCTCAGGTAAAATGAGGTGGGATGAAGAGATGAATTCAATTTATTTTCTTTCAATATATTAATTGAACTTCCATAGTTGAAGTAAAATATGTACATTGCTATTTAAATCTAAAGGATATTCTCTTGCCAGTTTTGAAACTTCGAAGAACTTGGGAGTTTTAGGTTAAATCTCTAATGTCGTATCTTTGCTTTTATGGTCCTTTCATACTACTAAAAAGTGTCTCCTAAGTATGATGGGATATTTATTTTGTGAGTCTAATCTGGGTGTGGTAGCACACACCTGTCATCTAACCACTTTGGGAGGTTGGCAGAGGAGGACAACAAATCTGAGCATAGCCTTGGAAACTTAGCAAGATCCTGCCTCAAAACACAAGTGAAAAAGGGCTGGGAATATCATTCTGTGCGAAGGCTCTGAGTTCAGTCCCCAGTAACAAACACAGACACATACACAATGTGGATCTATTTTTATTTTATGTATACTTTAAAGGCTGAAATTTTTCATAAAATTTCCTTAAACTTTGTTTTTTATATATCACATATATGATTTCACATTTATATGTACTCCTTTCAGTTGTCAAGTTGTTAAATCATTTGTTTAAATAGGGATGTTATCTTTCAACATGTTCCAAAAAAATTCCTAGAAACCAATTTTTTATATCTTAGGCAAATAAGGACACTTTCTAAAGTGTTATTAATCCAAATTTTCTTAGAATGTTATTATGTCACATCTAAACAACATTCCATTTAGTTACACCAGTAACTAAACTAAACTAAACACCAGTAACTAAACCAGTAGCATTTAATATTTTTGTAGATTGTAGACATTGATAAAAATCTTTATATCAATTTCATTTGTATCTAAGTATGACAGCTGATCACTATATTAGAATTGTATTTATTATATATAGTTAAGCTCTAAAATCTTTTTAATATTACTATCTATATCTATATATCTGCAACAGTATTACTTAACATACTAAATCTCAAAAACACAGAGATAGACATTCTTGGCTTTAAACAAGATAACAAGCCTCTGATCTCTAAAGGTCAGATGATGCCATTGTTAACATCATTACAGACTGTTTAAGCTGATAGTGAGGTCAAGGGATTAAAATTTCTTCTTTCACATAAGAATAATTGAAGTCGCCAACAATTAAGTGATTTTATCAAAGTCATACAACTAAAGCAGAGCAAAGTCCCAGTGTTCACTATATCACACTGTTGAGAAATTAACTCAATTTAACAATTTATACCATTAGCAGAAAGATAAGAAATATGAATGTTATAATTCTTGTCTCTGAGATTACAGTGTCAGGAAAAACACTGACAGACAGACAGACACATGCACACACACAAACTAGAGAACAATACAAGACAACATTACTAAATAGGATCAAAGGCCAAAATTTATAATACAGAGTTTAAGAGATATAGATCAGCAGAGAAGAATTCTGGGACGAGTCATAAAAAGGCTGACAAGTTTTAAACGGAAGAGAAAAATAGAAATGATGAGTGAAGAAGTAACAGCATTAACCATGACTAGAATGAATAAAATAAGTATGGAAAAGTATGGAAATCAGTGTTATATGGAGAATAGTGTTTCATTTCAGTAGATGCATTTTTAAAAGTCCTTTAAAAGGGAGACTATAAGGAAATCTAGGGGGATTTAGCTATTCATAATTAAACTCTCATTTGGCAGGAAGCTTAGAATTGAAATTATAAGATAAAATAATATCAAGTTTTCCTAACTCCTGAAATATTAGCAGGTCAATAAATGTCGGAACCCAGAAACTTTCACACTGAATTTGCAAAAGCAGTCATAGCTTAAACACATCATCTTGCTACATCAAAAGATGTTAAGTGCCTTCCATGGCCAAGACATTCTTTTTAATGATACACTTATTTCAAAATATTCTGGAATGATGTCAAAATATCACACTCATTAAGGTTCCACATAAAATTGTATTTAATATACCAGGCAAAAAACGGTGAGGCAAGAAAACTGTGTAAAATTTTAGATCCTCCACGTTAACAGTAGCCAAGGAGCCTGCTTCTATGGAAACAAAACACTATTCTAAACCTAGTAATCACTTGGTTTTCTAGTTGTATTCCTAATTTGTTTTTATTTTGATAGTAGCAACAGAAAATCTGCCTGATGCAGGTGGTAGTTAGTCCTTTTATGCTGCCTAGCTCATACTTCTAATTTTCTTTAAGACAGTGAGGTGGTTTTAAATCATAAGTTGTACTACAACAACAGTACTCTAAAGTATCTTGTGCATTTAGGTAAATACTAACATATGCTTAAGAAGTAAGAAAATCCATATCCACCCAACAGTGTGGTAATTCCTGTTGTATCTGTCTATCAGGAATCCCTAGGAATCACTCACCTGCACAGATCTGAACGTAGTAATAAAAGGCAACATGATGTGATAGCCTGGTCCACTGGGGCTAGTTAGTAAAGCTCCTCCCCTGCAAAAAAGATGTTTCAATTTAACAAAATTATAAAGAGAGAAATTCTCTTTCTAAATCTAAAATGCAATCATAAACATTCGCTCTTATTCATCCTCTAAATAAATGGTAGCAAACCTATGGTATGTGTGCCACAGCAGTGTGTTTGTATCACTGAAAGCTCTTAAAGGTTCGCCACTGCTGCTCTAAACTATTAAAGCCTAACAGGAGTTACTGATGATGAAAAACTGTTGTGTAGAATATCTACCACACTTAAAAAATTAAACTGAACTGCTGATATTACAGCTTGTTTCATAAGCTCAACTAACCATACTTCTGGGTCTCACATTCAAAGGATTGTCTTTGGTCTTTAAATCTCCTGAGGGATATTTGAGGAAAAAATTTTAAAGGCTCCCAGTTGAATGCTTTAACATACATAACAAGAGACAAATCAGAGAATTATCCATTTACTCATTAGGTTGAAAAAAAAGAAGCCAAGTAAACTTTTAAGGAAAGAGAAAAATTTTACGATTCATGATTCTTTTATCTGCAAGATAATCAAAACATCAGGAACATATTTTCTGTATAAAAACCAAAAACTGGTATGGAAAGACGAAGGATAAGAAGATTGAGTTTACAAATAAATAAGATATGAGCTTGTTCATTAAATTTTAGATGTGAGAACTATGAAAGCATGGCCTATAAATTATAAAAAGGAGGTAATCTGGGAGCAAATGAAAAGTCTATTTCATATAGCGAACAAGAAATTTATATAACTTAACTTCCTGTCCGGAAATTCTAAATAGGGTTCCCAATAACTCATAGTATCTAATAAAAGATGAACTGTTTTAGGCTCATTAGTACATCTTTGAGAGCCACAACTTGAAACACTCTTTCCTTGGTTTTACTGTCCAAAGACAATGCCAAATTGAACAGAAATCTGGACTAAGTGTCATTTTACTCTGCTGGAGTTACATCTGCTAAGATATAGCACTAACATACACTTTTTCCCTAGGATTCACGATGGATCTGTAAGTAGAAATACATTGAGGGGAAACAGAAATATGCAAAACCCTGAAGCTCTTCTTGAATATACCACTTTCGCAATTTCTCTACGAACTGGCTTCTTTTTTACTAGTCTATACAAAAAGAACCTGTGATATTTATGTTGAAGGAAAAACGATGTCAGCTCAACCAGTCAGCAACACATCCATCCCATCTCTCTACTTGGAAAGAAATAGGAAGGAAGAAGAGTGGTCATTATTGTAGCGCTTGTAGACCCAGAGGATGTAAAGACTGTCACAGTTACCAAGAAGTTATAAGACATAATCAGATAATGGGAAGTTCTTTCTGAGAAAAATCTAAGGAAAATCCATATTTCCTATTTTAGCATATGTACTGCTGAAGTGAGCACAGGGGCACATTTCCTGGAGTATTTATAGTGGCAAACTAAAAGCTTGTACACTCTTTTAAGTGATTTGTCCGTCTCTTCAGTTACACAGTGACTGCTTCCTATCCTCCTACCGAGTCTTAACCTGTGCGCAAAGACCACCCAAAACCGGAAGCTCGCTCCGCAAAAGCCTCCTTAGTCTTCAGCTCTCCCGAGGGCTGGGGAGTGCTAGTAGGACTGCGCAAAGAGAGCAACTTCCCGAGACACCACACTGACGGGATACTCGCTCCAACTGCTCTAGAGCCAAGGCCGATTCCACCTGTCGCTCACCTGTAGTACACAGCCAGGTGTCCTTCCTCAATCTTATGAATGGAAGCGTAGAGAAGGACAACTACCAGCCCCACCACTGCAGCCACCAGCACCCGAGCTTGAGTCATGTTCATCCTTGTTTCTCCTGGGTGAGAGAGGAAAGGTCCCTCAGTTTCAGAGTGGCAAGCCCGCCCGTTCAACTTCCACCCTCCCTCTACAAGACCTGCAGCCCTCTCCCACAGGCCGAGCCAGGGGATCCTTCCCTCTTCTCTCCTTATTCTTCGCTCCTGGCGGAGCCCACGTTCTCTTCGCCAGCCCCTCCGCCCAGTCGGCCCGTGCCCGCATGGTAAGCGTCGTGATACCCTCTGTCCAACTGTCGCTACCCGGGTAGAAGGCACCGAGGAGGGGACCAGTCGCAGGAACCAGAGGAAAGCCGACCTCTCCGCCGCGCCACACCGATCAGTGACGCATCGCCTCCGCCCGCACGTGCTGCCGCCCCTCAGGCTGGGCCGCTCCAACAGCCGCCAGCCGTCGGCCCTGCCTACTCGACCAGCACTACGGCTGCGCGACGCACACGGACGCAGCGTCCCTCTCCCGCCCCGCGGAAAGTGAGACGGGGCGCGGGCTGGACAAAATTCTCCCAGGCACCCCGCCGCGCACCAATTAAAAGTACGTTTGCTGGTTTTTTGATCACTTTTTCCAGTCGAGGAGGAAAGTCGATAGTAAGAAAAGAGGCAGAAGAAAAGAGCTGGCCGGTTAAGCAAGGGACTAATTTGTTTTTGTACAAAGAACCCAGTCTTTCTCTCTGTGTGATAGCTTTTTTTTTCTTTTTCTTTTTTTTTTTTTTTTTGGTCTTTTTCATTTTTATCGGTACCAGGGATCGAACTCACGACTGCCTGCTTGCAAGGAAGGTACTCATGCCGCTGAGCTAAATCCCCAGCTCCCTACTTTTTTACTTTTGAGGCTTATGGCTGTGTGCGGTAAGCGTGTGCTTTGGGCATAGAGCCAGTACTTCAGGAGCAACCAATTTGTTGCAAGGAAAAGTGCTTGAGGGAATTCAGAAGAAAAATCTATTCGACCCAGTTATATCATCATTCACTCAGTTTTTATATTCTTTTATTATTTATTGTGTTAGAATGCTGATCCAAGAGGCTTGTGTGAGGACTGTGTGTGTGTATGCGTGCATGCTGTCCTCCAGGGAGCCCAAAGGAACAGTAAACGGAGTTTTGTCAAAGCCTTTTGCATTGAAAAGGAGTCCGCTGATAGGCTAGGACCAAATGTAGAAAATCTGCAATGCATTGTTCTGCTGGAAGGTGAACTGGATGGTTAGAGAACGGATGAGAAGATTTTTCACTTCATATTCGTCAGACCTTTAAAATTGTATTAATCACTTTTCCATTGCTGGGACAAAATTCGACACTTGCACCTTAAAGGAGAGGTTCAAACTGAGCGTGGTGGCTCACACTGGTAATCCCAGCATTTAGGAGACTGAGGCAGCACGATCCTGGAGAGTTCCAAGATCAGCCGAGGTTACAAAGTAAGCTCAAGGCCAGCCTGAACTGCATAGAGAGACCCTGTCTCAGAAAGACAAAAAAAAAAAAAAAAAAAAAAAAGAGGTTTAATTTGGTGCAAGGTTTCCAGTTTTAGTCTATGGATGACAGGTTGGCTCCAGAGGAGAAAGGGCATGATGTGGAGTATACTGCAGAGGAAAGATGCTCTTCCCAACTAAGAAGCAGAAAGTAAGATAACCAGAGCAAGAGTTATGCCCTCCAAAGGAGCACACCCCACCTTGACCCACCTCCTGCAACTGGGCCCTACCTCCTAATAGCCATTCAGCTATGAACTCATTAAGGGATGAGGTTAGCAACCTCGTGGTCCAATCACATTCTGAAAGCCCCACTTCTGAACACAGGAAACTGCTGGAAAACATTTTAGATTTAAACTATAACAAAAATTCTGCCCATGTGTATGTATTATCAAAAATAAAAAGCAACAAGGTACAGGTTAGAGATGGACAAATATAAGGGAAATAAGGATGTCAAATGTGACTAAGTTGGGCAGAAATGGTGTAAACCTTGGGAGGTAGTAGTGGTGGGACTATAACCTGACAAACCCGATGAGTATTGGAAGGTCCTCTGAGTCCTTGGGCAGGGAAATATGGGAAAGCAGTGCTTTAAGAACTATAAAAATGGCCGGGAATTTAGCTCAGTGGAGTAAGCACCTGCCTGGCAAGCACTAGGTCATGAGTTCGAGCCCCGATTACTCCCCCCCCCCCAAAAAAAAAAGAAAAAATGCAAAATGGCTGAGTGTGGAGACATAGTGGCTACAGGCTGGGTCAAGTGGTTAGGAAAGTGCAGATCCCAGGTTATAACGATAAGAGTAGTGGAAATGAGAAAATGCAAATACAATCAATTCAAATCTTCATTGAAGCAAGTCTTGCAGACCACCCTAGCATACTCTTCAATAAATGTATTTACCTGTATGATTCATTTGATTTTATTGCTTAGGGCTGTCTGGGACTATTATCTGTTCCAAGTAAATATTTGCACAGCTTAGCTATTTTAACTTTTAAAAAGCAAAAAAAAAAAAAAAAAAGCATTAACTTGCTAGACCTGTTTTCTGGATACACACAATAATATATATTATTGTGATATGTTTGTCACAATAATGCTTAGATTGAGGAAAGAAATGTATTACAGTTCACAACTTCCATTCAGTGCTAAAAAAATGTTGCCCAACAAAAAGTGAATGGTGGGGGCTGGGGACTTAGCTCAGCGGCATAAGTGCCTGCTTTTGCAAGCAGGCAGTCGTGAGTTCGATCCCCGGTACCGATAAAAAGAAAAAAAAAAAAAAGTGAATGGTGGACTCATGTGTCAAAAACAGGTTTGGGCTGATCTTACTTTAACAGTCTGTAATGACTAACATCACCTCAGTCACACACCATCAAAATGGACCCCACAAGTAGCAAAATTCTTATCAGTTATTACAGTGATAGTCAGAAAATGCATGACTGCAAAAAAATCCTTGAATAATAATTACAATACAGCAATGTTTACTCACACTATCAGGAAACACTTTTATTTTACTGTCTGTGTTGTCTCTTATCTTACCATCCAGATTAGTTTCTCCTGAACAATAGGTATCCAATAAATGTTTATATTTAAAATCTAGAGAGCTGCAGATGTAGCTCAGTGGAAGGCACTTGCCTAGTGTGCATGAGACTCTGGATTCGATCCTCAGCAGTGCAAATACATAAAACCTTCTAGTACTAGGGAAGCAAGAGATAGACTGCTTTCTTTAGAGAAACAGTGATACTTGATAAAAAGGACAGTTACTCCATGGTTTCAAACTTGTGACTGAAAAATGATATCACTCACAAAAAATGGGGCTAGTAGGATGATGGCATCAGTTTCTAGGGCAAGACCTAGTCTATGGGGTTTAGTCACAGACAGTGGAAATAAAATCTCTCAAGAGAAAAGACTATATAAAGAAGATGCCTGATACTTACTTTACCGTAAGTCTTATGTAATTCTTAAATAACACAAAGAGATGCCAGATGTGATGCCACATGTCTATAATCTCAGCAGTCTAGAAAGCTAAGGCTGGAAGATCATCAAGTTTGAGCCCAGCTAGTGTAACTTTACTGAGACCCTATCTCAAAAGTTTTTTTAAAAAGGGGCCTGTGAATGTGTGTCAGTGCAAAGGCCTTGGGTTCAATCTTTAGTACTGAAAAAACAACCACCACCACAATAACAAAGCCAAGGATAACCTATTATGTTATTCTATGCTCTGGTTCTACTTCGTGAATAATCTGGTTTTTATAATGAATAGAGATTCAAAGTGTAATTTAAAAATCATTTAATACATAAAGTGAAAAAACTATCTAGAATATAAAATTTCACATTTTTTAGACAAATAATACCTTCTAGGCTATTTAACAAAAGATAAGAGAACCACAATGCATTATCGGAAAGCTTTGGGGCCAGATATTTCAGACTTACAAAATTTTCAGATTTTTAAAAAGGTAATTTGGTACACATACCATACTACATTGACCCTTTAAAAATGTGGTAGAACCCTTTTCCCAGTAATTAAGCATATTAATATATCTGCAGTAAAATAAATGAATATTCACACACAGTGGGATAAACAATGAGTTTAGAAATATAAGAAAATTAATTTTTTCATCAAGCTTATGAAAACTTTGTTTTCAGAACTTCTTGGATTTTGAAATTACAATTACAGTTAAGGGAATGCAGATCTTTAGAAACTTGTACAAGACACAAAAACCTATTTAAACAAATGAAAAACATATAAGCTTTCAAACACATTATAAATTAACAGACATCTTTCTTTGACATTAAATGTACATCTTAAATACATACACATATATAATACACATGATTTAGGACAATCAACTGGAATTGAAGGCACAGATGCACAATCCCTTCTGTAAGAAGGGGATACTATTAAATGTGTTGTAAAAATAAAATGGGATTAAGCCAACTCCTTATGATGCCGGGAAGAGTTTTTGCTGAGTGCAACACAAGGAGGTAGGATTTATTCTTCAAAAAGTACAATTTTACTTATGAACAGTCTCTTCCATAAAAAACATAGGCAACATTTACTTAAAATGCATGCTAAGTGACTTTCTTTTTCTATATATATAATACTATTTTTGGCCTTATGCTTAAAAGTTAAAACTTTAGAAGATATTTTAAATCAGGTAAGTAAGTAATGTTTTTACCAAGTTTGAAAACATATGGGCCATAATGATGCTCCTAAATAGTTGCAGTATTGAAACAAATATTTAAACAAGTCCATTGACTTTTCATAGAATCCTATCTGTTTTTGGAGGTTAAAATTACTCAAGATCAAGACTAAAGCCATGCGTAGTTTCTGAGTATAGCCATTTCTTCCATTGACTGGTATGTGAAGAATGGTTTCATTGAGGAAAAACAAATTTCCAACATTTTCAGCAACAACTTCCATAGGTTTGAGAACAGTGAACAAGTTTCAAGTCATTCAGTTAACCAACTCCAATCAAGATTCTAAAACCAGGCATGAAAAAGTTACAATTAGAAGTTGACTATAAGTGGTATAATAAATGGGTGTTCATTTTTGTATGATTGGACATTTTATATCAAAAGTTGAGCTAGGCATAGTGGCACACACTTATAATTCCAGCACTTGGGAAGCTGAGGCAGGAGGACTGTTATGATTTTGAGGCCAGCCTGAGTTAGACAAAGAGTTCAAGGCCAGCCTATACCACCTAGCAAAATCCTCTCAGCAAAACAAAAAAGAAAAGACCTATAGTTGAAAAATCAAAAATACACAAATTACAATTGAGTTTAGCTCACTTTATTTTCTGCCAATTTCAAATAATTATTCTCAAAGCAGACACATAGAGTTGACACTGAGATTAAATGCAGTATTGTTAATTCAGTACATACTTTATTGTAGTTTCTCCTATTTCTGACAAATCAATAGTTCACAGTAATCACATATCAATATAAACACTTTTAAAAATTACAAATATATTAAGATAATTCATTTATATGAAGCAGGTACTGCATTTCAGTTACTATACAAGGTCAATCTTATTGGAAAAAACTGCTGAAGCAAAATGATACAAATTACCCAATTTCAATGCTTGTACTGCAAAGAAAACTTAATCTGAATAAAGTTACCCTAGCACATCCCTGAGTAAAAGAAGATGGAAATTTGAGGTTGAGAACATTTTTTTTTTTTTTTTTTAATCAGTACCGGGGATCAAACTCATGACCGCCTGCTTGCAAGGCAGGTGCTTATGCCACTGAGCTAAATCCCCAGCTCCAAGGACATTTCTTCAAATGTTCTTTCCTCTAAGTACTTCTATTACCTATATGCATCCACAGTGCCAAATAAAGGTAGCACAAAAGTTAAATCTTTTGTACCTTACATAACTAAAACACACATACATATCCACACCAAACTTACCATCATGCTACTGCCCTGTTCCCCATTTGCTTCACGAATAATAGTACTTAAACGGCCAAGACTGTTCAAATTTTCTTCTATAATTTGTGCTAAACTCTCCCTGTGGGATGAAAGAACAAAGCATTTTCAAACTCAGAAAGGAGCATACAAATTTGTTCCACTTTCTAGTCTTCTAAATAAGGATGGTGTCCTTGTACCCCAGCACCCAATGTGGCTAACTCCTGTCGTATTCAGTTTCTTCATCTCTCCCACCCACAGGCAGAGTCCCACTTCACCCACACTGCTCTCTCTATCTAACCCTAAGTCCACTATAAGATGGGCTATGGTGGTGCACACATGTGATCTTAGCTACTTGGGGGGCTGAGGCAGAAGGAGAGCAATATCGAGGCCAGCCTAGACAACTTAAAAGACCCTATCTCAAAATACAGTAAGAGCTAAAAAGGAAGGTCACTGATAAAGCCCTTGCCTAGTAGGTACAAGGCTCTGTGTTCAATCCTCAGTATTATAAAGAAAAAATGCATTATAATTTCAATCAGACTTTTCTTTAAATGGAAGTGGCACTTAACATTTTCCTTGAAAGGGGAAAATTATTGTGATATGGACAGATGAAAAACCACACACTTTGTTTCTGGAATATTTCTTTTTCCCTACAAGTAGAAAAATATAACACACTTAATTCACATACACAAATATAGAGGAGTACAGTCTGTTCTGCAAAGATCAGAGTGAAAAACTCTGGTTGGAAACAACAAATGACAGCAATGAAAAGGACAACGAGCAAGCTGAATGTTTATAAGCAGAAGAAGACATGTGATAGGGAAGCTGACCGTCACTGCAAACTATCTCTGGAAGTTTTAGTTGTGAAGACAATCCTAATTCTGGTTTCCACCTTCATGCTTTTTCCTTCCACACAGCCTCTATTCTCACCATTTACTAACCCTTACTGCCTCTTCTACCAAAGTCAGTTTCAGCTATGGATGAGAACCACTATTAGCTTAATACTAAGATGATTCACCTCTTACTTAACAGATGGAAAAATTTAGGCTACGAGTTTCTAATCCTTGGTAATTAAGCATCATGCATATGTTACAAGTGAAAGCAGTTTTCCTATCGTGGGTACATTATAATTGAAAACAATTTTCTTTTATAATGTGTTCCTATCTGCAAATAAAATAATTATCAGATGCTCTTTGACCAACAACCACAACCTCAAATTGGAAGTTACCTATAGATGTAGGTAGGTAGTTGAAACCATTTCAACCATTAAACATTCCCTAAAAAACCTAAATGCTGTTACTAAAAACAAAAGGTTAAAAATGTATTAAATTTTCTTTCTTTTAACTCTTGATAATAGAATATTTCCTTAACACTATATATATAATCTGTGCTGTACTTGTAGATGTTTTACTTGGGCCAATCTATAATGATGTCAAGACAGACCCTGAATTTGCTTTCTTAAAAAATCAAATACCTGATATCAGCTTGCCTTCCTGCCATAAAAGCGTAAAGAATGCAATTGCATGACTTCCTGAGCAGTGATGTAACATGGCTGTATTTCTGCAAAACTAATTACGGGCAGAATTTCCAGGAAATGCTGGTGCTGTAGAGGTCTCGATGAGTTGTGAGAAAAGTGACAATACACAAGCTAGCAAAGAGCCACTGGCTCTGGACATGGCACATCTTATGCTGAGAAAATAATAGAGATGGATAGTCATTCAGCTTTTAGCAGAAGAGTAGGAACTAATTAAAGAAAACACAGGACTTCAAACTTGAATTATTTGCAAGGTTGATTTAAGGCACTGAAATAAGTCTAATTTTAAAAATACTAACTTTAAAAAAATACTTAAACAGTAGATCTCAGTAACTTATTAAAAGGGCAATCAAGAACCACAAAAAGATAAATGAAAAGACAGCATAATTTCTCATAATGAAATAGCAAAGGAAGGAATAATGTTTGGATAAAAGAAACTAAGATACCAATAACATCTTAGAACTTGGACTAAACTAATAATTACAAGTAACCTTTGTTGACTATTTACTTCTTAAGCACGTTACAAACATCATCTAATCAAATTTTCAGCTATTCTACAAGAAATTCTCATTTTACAAGTGAGAAAATAAAAACAGTAAAAATGTCAAGTACATTATCCAAAATTATTATGAAGTCAAGACTCAACCCTGAAGGGACTAAAGACCTATTCCATCACTGTATTCTACTGCCTCATTCACATTACTGTTTTGTAAACACAACTATCTGTTTTTACAAAGGAACCCACCCATCTTGAGGAGTTACCACGCATGACAAAGGATGTTCACGTTCAGTTAAAGTTGGAGGCAGCCATGCTGATGTCTGAGGAGTTACTGCACCTTCTAGACTGGATCCTACCAGGGACCGGGCAGAACTCTGTGTCTGAAAGAAAAAGAAGATCAAAAGATTATAGGTAAGGACCTTTGTTGATTCACACAATTTACCTTACTCCAAAGATTTATGTTTCATTACTACTTTTCTGTACAGAATATTTCTGTATGAAACTATTCCTGCCTTTATACACTGTTACTAACTATCCTGTCCTTGGTTCCTGTCTTCATTGACAAAAGCTGAATGTATTTACTAATCTAAAACCACGTTAACTGGTGAGGAAAGAAAAACTCCAGTTAAACAATAGGGCTAGTTTCACTAACTAGTCTGCCATCTCTCCTCAAGTCACATTGGTCCAGTGCCGTGAGACCTATAAAAACAAAGTGACTGAAAAAGGACAGTGACAGCACAAAAGTTCTGTATTTCTTCTGCTAGGCACATACCAAAAAAAAGAACATGAGCACCAACCTAACGTAAAATATACATCTTTAAGAAGACAGAGCTCATGCTGATAAAAATCCCTTTTGCACATAAGAGCAGCAAGTCAGTATTATATTAAATAATTCATTAGTAAATACTTACACAGGCAATTTTAAGGAGATGCCATATTTCTTTCTGCCTCTTTCCCTGCATGAACATGACAGTACTGTCAGCTTCTCTAATGTTACTGAGGGTCGCTTCTACTTTGGGGAGTAGGTCAATAATCTTCTGCTTACAGCCCAAAAGCTTGCTGGAGAGATTAAATCAGCGTCAGACACTTACTATGTCACATAAGGTTATACACCATACTCCCAAAACCCAAATGGTAAGTGAACTACAATCAGCATTATATTTAATGACTGATATCCAAAGTAGTTCATGCAAATGGATAATATAAATGCATTCAGTATACATGTTGTTGTGGCCAGCTACTCAAGATACACTCAGAATTCTTCTTAGGTCTAGAATACTTATCAAAAGAGCTGTACTCTGAAAAAACCATAGCTTTTTAGGAAAAAATAAAATCATTTTCCTACCTTAGATGGCCAAACAGCTCCTTGAGAACACGATCTTGACTCTGAACAGTATGCACAATTATCTTCACCATCTCTGTGCTGTCACTGTAGGAGTGATCTATAAAGGACTTTAATCAGTGAGTATAACCTCTCTTTTGCAGAACATTATCAGTCTCCAAAAAAAAATTCCTCAAAATTTAAAAGTCTGAAAGAAGGCTAATAAACATTTCCATTTATGTTAAAAATTGGATTAAAATTTCAAGACTACTTAAAAATAAACTCTAAAGTCTAGGGGTTTAGTGCAATGGTTAATTATATACCGAAAAAAAATTATGTGCATTTGTGTATGTATTAGATATATATATATAGATGCACAAGTGTGATCAAAATATATGATGCTTAAATTTTAAAAATTTATTACAGTAAAAGACATACTGCCATTAACCCCTCTCAAAATATTCCCCTTTGTTTCAAACACCCTTATTCCATCATTCTTGTCACTTTCTGCATCAATTCTGGAAGTTCTCTTTGGTGAGTATCTTTAGAAGGTGAATATTGTTGCTGAGTACCATGTAACAGAAAAGACAAGCTTGTAAAAACATTATGGTGCATCTTCATTCTTATTCTCCAGATCTGCTACTGTGTTAATTCCAGTTCTTCCCCAAAGTACAAAAGACTGTGAAAGATACACGTTTTGAGTTGACTCAGGACATCAAGGCATGCACAAGGGTTAAAGATATGAAAGAGGACTTCCAGAACTGCTTCAGAAAATGGCAAGGATGATGGGGTAAGTGTGTTTGAAGCAGGGGAGAATATTGTGAAGAAGATTAATGGTAATGTGTCTTTTCTGTAATAGTATCTTAAGTCTAAACACCATATTCTTCAATCACACCTTGTGTACGGGTACATATGTGTAAATGTACACATGTATGTATATGTAATGATTACACACAGACATGTGCATGCACATGCATATACATACACACACCTCACTATTTTCAAAGACTTCAGTTGTCTGCATTTAGAACAGCAATCTTGGCTATCTTTAACCCTACCAATCTATGCCCACAGTCATATGCAGCCCCTGGCCAAGGACCAATTTTTCTCTTACGATTCACACTACCTATTTAGAAACAGTAAGACAATCTGTTAAATTTTCACTTAGGAGGATCACTGCAAGTTTAAGGCCAGCCTGGGCTACATAATGAGTTTAAGGTCAGTCTGAATTACACAGTGAACTTTTGTTACAAACAGACAAATATAATAAAAGAGAACTTTCACTGTCTCAAAGAAGGCACCTGCTCAAACTAGGTTGTTTGGCACTTGATTTTACCTGTTTATGGCCCACAGAAGTTTTTGGAAAAAACTAACTGACTCAAATCAAACCTGAGGTACTATCAAAGGAACCTGTAGACATCTTGAGAGTTTATCCTAAAGCCAACTGGCAGCTGACAGACGTCCTCAAATGGGACAGCTGATGGTCATAGTAAGCCTGATAGTTTACAAGAGGTGCTATCTTAGCTTTTAACAATTACCAGCATTAACTATTATATTCCAAAAAATTATTCATACATCATTTTGGTATTTTCCTTGGACAATAATTAAGCCTGAATGCAAAAATAATTGTTACTAAAATTTACTACTACCAGCTTGTAATTTTTTCATTTGATCTTCATAGCAGTTCTGTGAATGGCTGCTTTCATTATTCTCACTTTACCAAAAAAATGTGATATCAAAGGTTTTAAAAAATGTTTCCTTCATTATCAATCCTAAGACCAACTCCATAGTCTAGCTTTATTCCTTCATATCTCTCTGGCTCTCCTTGACCACCAAGTAGGTACAAGGCTCCAAAAATAGCACTCTTTCCCAAATCTCACAGACCAAAGTCAAAGAGCTTTCCCGGGTAACTAGCTCTTTCAGAGGGTTAAAGATCTCAGAACTTCAGCTCTGTCCAACACAATAATGAAGAAAAGTTCAGCTGAACAAGAACCCCAACTGTAAGCTAGAAGATACCAGAGACCATAAATCAAGGGTTATTATATATCAATCACTGACAGGTGAAACTTTGTTTTTTGTTTTTGAAGCAGGGTTTCACTATGTGGTACATCCGGCCTCGAATTTGCAGCTACACAGTGAGTTCAAGGTCAGTCTGAACTACATACTGGGACTCTCTCAAAAAGCATGGGATTAGGGATACAACTCAATGGTGAGAGTACTCATGGTTTGAATGTGTCTTTTTTATATTCTATGTGGTAAAAAGAAGTATTCATAAACGTTTCCACTATACAATGAAGTCTGACAGTTTTCTCAAAGAAAACCACTTTAATATTACATATTGCTAGTTATCTGGCCTCTTCTTTCATGGAATCCAATTTTGACTTAAAAGATCAGTCAAACTATGGCTATTCAGATCTGGTTATATAGCATGCATTTCTTTAGAAATTCAGGAAAAGAAGTGAAGCATGTTTATTTCTTTAAAGGAAAAGACTACTGTCAATGATAAAATTCCTTTAGGTTTTAAGCAATATAATTTGAATTTTATAAAACTTGTATTCACCAGTTGGAATCTGACAGTTTTCCAATACTTAAAAAGACTTTTCTGATGAGGTCAGTAATACTAAAAAGATTTGCAAAAAATGTAAAATGATATTTATCTACCCACTCATTTGTTGTTGTTGTTTTGGAAAATATAGTCCCTCTTAATTAAAATGTTAACAGATATTGGATTTGTTATTTTTCAGTGAATAAATATAGAAATGTCTTATATTTTGTTTTAATTCTTGAAAAAATCCTCCAAGAGTGTCAATAAGTTTTGAGTATAAAGGAGTCCTGAGACCAAAAAATTTTAAAATGTTTATCTATTCTTTTCAGAAGGTTGGCTGTTTAAGAGGGATGAATATCTAAAAGGGGATTAGCATAAAGACTAACTTTCAAAAGTAGGACTTGGCCCAAAAACCTCTGAAATGGAGGGTCCCTTAAATGAGTTGGGATTTAGACAAAATTATATATAATTACTGCTTTATCAAGGATGTTCTTAAATGAACTGACTTTTTTAAAAATTAGAAAGAATATGTATACAGTGGTAAAAAATATGACTATATGCATGGTCTGTTCTTAATACTAAGGTACAAATCCTCATATCCAGTAATACTTCTGAACTGTCAGACAGATACTGTTTTGAATAGTCATATAATATCTTAAAATTATGAAAAGTAGTTTTGATCGCAAAAACTGAAAAAGTTTGAGGTCTTCAGTGGTTTGTGAGTCAACTTTAGGGAATTTCTGGGTTAGACTTAACTTCTCCAATTCCTCCTTTCCCAGGTCCTCTTCAGTCTATTACAATCTGATTTCTGTTTCTAAAAGATTGCCAATAATGTGCAAACTGTTAAGTCCAATACATATTTTCACTAATATTGTCATCATTATCCATATCTCTGCAGCGTTTCATCTTTTGAGCACTTTTTCCATTAAACTGTCCCCTTTCTATCAGTTTCTTCTTCCCATTCTAGCCATTTCTCAATCTCTTTTGTAGTCATCTCACTGTAACTTACTCTGTAAGTAGGTGTTAATATTCCCTAGGATTCCGGCCTTGGGTTTCTTATTCAACCTGCTTTTTCAAGATAATCTCTTTACTCTTAGGGCTGATTTTTCAACAAATACCTAAGTATCTAGCACAGACTTCTCTATACACGTGTTCATGTGTATCAGAATAAAGTATATGCAAGCAACCACGTGTATGTGCGCGCACACACACACACGTAATTATTAGACATGTCCATTTGAATATCCCATTAACTTCTTAATATCGACATGTACAAAACTGAACTCATATGGTTTTCCCATAAGGTCTGTTATGCTTCCTATATTTGCCTGGTCCTTTCTCAGGTAACCAGCTGCCCTAGCCAGCAATTTGGTTCCACAACTCCCCGCTGAACCATAGTCAATCTATCACTTAACACTATCAGATGTACCTCCTAAATCTCTCTCTCGCCTTTTCCCTCCTGTTTACCTCACTGCAATGGTTCAGGCTCTCTGCTTTAGTTTATAGCCCATCCTATACTGAACTATGACTATTCTAATAACCTTATAATGAATATTCCTATTACTACCTAGTCCCAATTTAATCCATAATGCTATCAAAGCAGTATTTTTAACATGCTAATCTGATCATGCCATTCCTGATTAAAACTTTTTGGCATTTCTCTTGCAATGAAATCCAAACTCTACCATGACATACCACGTCCTGTGCAATCCAGTCATGTCTCTCACCTTCTGAAACTACACTTATCATACTGCTAAGTGTTCAAACATGCTAATGCCACATGTGTATGTCTTTGTATGTGATACCTTATGTATTTCTTCCTTTCACCTGGTTAGTTCTACTTTAAGACTCACTTCCTTCAGAAAATCACCTCTAACCATCCCATACCCACAGTCAAAGTTAAGTATCTATCTCACATGTACTTTTTAAATGTTTACCAAAAAAAAAAAATCTGCTACAATAAAAAAAAAAACGCATGAGACAATTATGTTGTTTTAAGTACCATATCATGTATCTATTAATTCACATGTGCTGTTATGTGCTTATAAATTTTAAAGCACACAATACTTTCTTACTTTTAACAATTTAAGTAAATTGCATTCTAGGGCATAAAATTCACTTTTTACTTCTGAAACCCTTTAAAACAAAAAAAAGTTTTAATTAAATAACGGTATCTTTTAGGTATATAACACCTTATATTTTTCAAAGCCTTTCCAATGAAAACCCTCTCATATACACTGTCACAACATATTAACTAAGTTAGAAAAGACAGGTTTCAATTTCATTTTTTTAAATTGCAGAAATGAGATACAAGAGTTGGGTGTGGTGGCTCACGCCTGTAATCCCAGCACTAGGGAGGGTGAGGTGGGAGGATCGTTGGGAGTTTGAGACCAGCCTGGGCTACAAAGTGAGTTCAAGGCCAGCCTGAACTGCATAGTGAGACCCTGTCTCAAAAAACACACACACACACAAAAAAAAAAAGAAAAAGAAAAAGAAATGAGATGCAGGGAAATTTGCCAAGATCAACTTACCAATAAATTACCCACAGCAAAGTGTCTGACCTATATTCAAGACTTTTGATTCCCAACCAGTGTTGTGACCATGTTTTTCAAAGAAAAGTGCTTTTGCCTAGGAAAAAAGTGCTCTTGCCTCACCATTCCACATCTGAACCCAATGCATCATATTCATTCCAGGCTGGGTATTTAGCTCAGCAGCACAAGCGCTACCCTGGCAAGTACAAGGTCATGAGTTTGATTCCCAGTACCAAAAAAAAAAAAAGATAAACATGTCTCACTGCCCTAAGTGCCATTCTCCATTCCATTTGATTATTCAAGTTTTTTTTAATTCATTGCAATCTCTCTAATTTTAAGCATTTCCCCCCATCTTTCCGCAATTTTCTGTTTCTTCTTTCTCTACGAGTTCCTTTTATCTGTTTCATTCCTTTTGACTTCCATGTTTAAAATTTTTCTACCTGTTTTGTTACAACTTTCTCCTCCTAATCTCTTAAATTTTCATAAAGTTAAAGCCATTATACTTTAGATATCTTAATGGCAGTGCCAAAACAGGAATTTATTTTGCAGCCTTTAAGATATTTAAAATGTAAAATTCCTCAAAATTCTCAGCTACTGAGTTTCCTAAAATATCTCTAAGTACTTACCTGCAGGTCTATGCTTCAACTGCTTATACAGATCAATGGCACGCTGTTCCCTACAAGAGAAAAAACATGCTTTCATGTGAAGATCAATTAATCACTCTTGAAATAAATAAAATTATATAATGATTCCTATTTTACAATAAGTACAAGTTGCAAATCAGCATTTTTATAGAGCATTTCACTGAGTAAAAAGCAAGGACAATACATGATCTTAAGTACAGTATACTTCATACCTGCTCTGTTTTCCACCACAAATACAGTATCCTTGCATCAGAAAAATTTAAACATGCAAAAAATATGGCTTGTGATTACAGAGAAAATCTGATTTCTGATATAGACATACAAGAGGTTAACCTCATTAGGTCACTTATAAGACAATATCTAGGAAATAGTTTGCAATTTGTTTATACTTGGGAAATTCTTCTTAACACTCATATGAAAAGAGGCTTTTCAAAAAGCAGACCAAGAAAGTCAAGCCAAAGAGTTATTTCTAAAGTTTCCTGTAACTAAGAATAGCTTCCTTTTAAAATATGGTGTGAATATATTTGGGGAAAAGAAAACTTCAGAAAAAAAGCACACAGCCACTGTGGTGGCACACACCTGTAATGCCAGCACTCAGGAAGCTGAGACAGGAGAACTGCCATGAGTTCAAGTCCAGACTGGAATCATACTAAGTTCAAAGCTAGACAGAATTACATAGCGAGACCCTGTCTCAAAAAAACAAAAGAAAACAAAACAAAACAAAAAAACCCACAAAAGTTTCACTTGCTAGATGCAAGCAGAAAAAACAATGCTAAAAAAATTATAGACATGAACAACAACAGCATAAATACATCCTTACAGAGATTCCATCAAGTCTCCCTGGCGTCTTCCATAGGGGCTCTTCTGTAGTTCCATGATTTCAGTGTGCAAAGACATAATCTGATCTTCAAGGTATCCAATGACACCAACCTAAAGAATGATGTAAGCACAAAGAAAACAACAGGCTTTAGGATAGAGAATGGTCTGTTACAGGAGTACTAAATTAACATGAAACACTAATTTTATTAAAGCTTTTTTACCTTTTAGGTTCTGAGAATCTTCACACAAGAACATTGTTATTCCTATGCTACTCTCTTTTCTCTACTGACAATACTAGCTTTGCACTTTTTTCAAGAGAAGCAAAATGCTTATAGAAATACCATCAAGACAAAAATCATCAAAACTCAATGGTATTATTTGCATCTCAGCTTCAGGATACCAACCGCCCTACCCACATTCTTAAGCAGGCACAAGGAGAGCAATAATCTAGAACCGTGGATAGCCATACAGGATAAGGGATGAACTTTGCCACTATTCCCAGGGGACCCATATAATTTATTGTGTATAGCAGTATAATTTCAAGAGTGAAAAGGAACACTAGATCCCAGAGATAAACTGGGACCATCCTAGGTACACCAGAATATACAGCTGTCTTACCTAAGCCAGTTGCAAAAATAACTGGCTACATTTATTACTGATTCCTATTTAATCTTTGTAACTCTACTAGAAAATATATTTCCCTACAAGATAATAAGGAAATTGAAGCTCAGTGAGGCTAAGTGATTTGCCCAAAGCCCTTGTTTTATCCACTATATCTTTGCCTATATATACAAAACATCTATTAAACATCTGTCTGAAATTCAGGGATGATATAATAGACATTCACTCTCTGTTGAACCCAAAGTCAATGGGAGATACTAAGAATTTCTTTTTTTTTATTTAAAGAGAAAAATCCAAAACAGTGAAAAGATAAGTAATACAGAATTTCAAGAAAAAAATATACAATAAGTTAATAGATTACATATTGTCATCTTAGAAGAGATATTAAGAATTAATAAGCACCCAGAATAAGCTCAGTGATTTTACCTCTGCATAGTGGATGGCCTTTTCTTCCATTTCTTTCCAAGCTTTTAGCATTTTTTCTGAAGCTAAAACGAAAGTCTAAGTTGGTTATCTCAGACATAGACATTGGTTAAATTACTGGCCTGCCTACCTCCTGTTGTATCAATATCAAAGCCATTGTGGGGTGAAGTGTGACTCCCCTTAAAATATGTTCATTTGGTAACCTCTAATACCTCAGAATGTCACCTTATTAGAAATGGTCTTTACAGATATAATCAGCTAAATATGCACATTTGAGAAAGATGGGCCCTTAATCTATTATGACCGTTATCCTCACAAGAAAGACACAGAGATACAGACACACAGGACAGAGTGAAATGTGACAGTAAGGGCACAGGCAAGTGCTGCAGCTCTAAGCAAGGAACACTAAAATTGTTGACAAACCATGAAAAACTAGGAAGAAGCAAAAAAGGATTCTTTCCTACAGGTTTCAGAGGGATCATATCACTGCTAACACCTTAATTTTGGACCTCTGGCCTCCAGAACTGTAAGATAATAAATTTCAGTTGTTTTAAACACCAAATTTATGGCATTTTGCTATGGAAAAGCAGTACAGGTGACTTTCTCTTTTAAAAAGTTTTTTAAAAAGTAATATATGAACATGTTTTTAAAAACTCAAACACTGTAAAAGGATACAAAAAAAAAACTTTTTTGTCCTCTACCCTATAGCCCAAGAGAACTTGCTATTATTATTCATTACTTAGACACACACCTTATTCCCTTACAAGTTAGGGAATATGCACACACTTCTCTCTGGTTTTTCCATAACTTAAAATATCACTGCCAATCAAAGTCTTCAATAATTGTATAGAACACCGCTGACAAGTCAAAGATATCTTAATGAAATAATTTTACTGTTCTGTCATTCATCAGAAGTTCTACAATACACACACACAAATAAAACATCCCTCACAGCATCTGTTCTGGAGAATAAATATATTCATCTTGTTAGATACCTTGGATCATTTTTTCTGAGGGTAAAGTGACAAAAAGTGTGTTTTTTTCCCCCTAAAAAATGATTAGTTTTTGAAACAAATCAGAAATGCAGGTGGTAAATCTTTCAAATTTTAACTCTTTTTTTTTTTCCAGTTCCTTAGTGTGTCTAAAGAGAGGGAAGCCTGAAGTCAAACAATGAAAATCTAGAAACTGTAAAAAACACAGTAGGAGTCCACAGTATGTGGTTTGGAAATAAACAAAATCTTAGAATTATTTGCATTATTATCTCCAGAAAGATAAAGTAACTTAGTAAGTCCCTAGCTATGTTGGTCCACTTGAGCGCTACATTAAAAACAAAAACTCTAGTTGGGTAGCATAAAACCACAGAAATTTATTTCATATAGTTCTCAAAGCTAGGAAATTCTAGATCAAAGCCCAGGCAAATTCACTGTCTGGCGAGGACTTGCTTTTGGGTTTACAGATGGCGGGCTTTGTATTGTTTCCTCACATGGCAGGAAGTGTGAGGCAATCTTATTCAGATCTCTGTTATAAGGGCACTAATTTCACTCACAAAGATTCACATAAGTTAATCACTTCCCAATAACCCTGCCTTCAAATAATCATCATTTTGGGGGTCAAGATTTCAACATATGAATTTCAGAGGAAAACAAACATTTAATCTATAGCACTGGCTAAGAAGCCATTCCAGTACAGATTTTGTTTCTGTTTTTAATGTGAGATTTTAAATTCACCAATTCTTAAATCACTCGTGTAATTTAGCTTTTCAAGAACTAATTTTATTCAAAGTTGAAAGTAAGTTGTTCTAATAAAATCTGAAAAAAAAGAGCATTCAAAACTAACATGGCTTATGACAACCCAAGTTATTCTTTCTGTTGTTCCAATGTAAAGTAATAACTGGCTATGTGTTATGAAAGCAAATGAACAGATGGCTTCAAGACTAGACATTCCTAACAAATATAATATACCCAGACACTTACATATACCATAAGTCATTTGCTCACTGTATCTTTCCAGGTCAAGCTGAATGCTTTTGTGAAAAAATTCCAGTTTAGCTTTTAGTTGCTGTGATGCTGAGATCAATGTGTTCTTCATTTTTGTCAAGTTGGCATTGTACCTAAGAAGACTTAACCTAAGACATAACAAAACAAAACAAAATCACCAGGACTCAAAAACACTGAATAAGCCTGGCGTGGTGGCACACACTTATAATTCTAGTACTCAGGAGACTGAGGCAATAGGATCATTGATTTTTGAGGCCAGCCTGGGCTACACAGTAAGTGTAAGGCCAGCCTAAACTGTATAGCAAGACCCTGTCTCAAAAAAAAAAACAAAACCACCGCCACACACACAGACACACACACACAAAATCCCAAAAAACCCCCACTGAATAAAAGTTTAAAAACACACAGTTCTAGAAGTCAAAAAACCTAAGTTTCTATTATTAAACTATGAAAAATAGCTGATCTCGAGAATCTAGTCTCTAAAGACTTCTAGCTTGAGATTCTGTGATAAACTATGTTCTTATGCTATGATAATTTATGAACTACTACCCTCAAGCAATGGATGGTTTTAACCATTTATAAGAAATCTTATAAAGCCTATTAAGAATATTATATTTCAAATTGGCCCAATATTTTAGCACTACATGCAATACTGATTAAGGAAAACTGGCAAGAATATATAATAAACATAACATTGTAATTATAAAGAACATAACCACTTACATTGCTGCTCTTTGTCCCTGAAAGAGCCTACTGTAATCTTCTTTTAGCCCAGACACATAATGCACTGCTTCAGCCCATACTTTACGTAGCTGTACAATTGGAAGCTGTATTTTGCTATCTTGTACTACAGGCAAAAAAGTAGGAGAGGTGAGTTAAAGACTTTGGAGTTCATTTATCATTTTCTGTCACTTTCTGTTCACCCAAATAGCATTCCCACAGATGTTAAAAGAAACTTATTAATTACCACTTAATTCAGCTCAATATACCATTTACTGAACAGCTGCAAAACATAAGCCCTCTCTAGGTACCAAGTGATATAAAAATGCATGATATGATCACTACCCTCACAGAGCTTCTACATTTTTTTTTTGTTCCCTTCAAATTTGGACTATTTTTCCCCTCTCTATTAATCCAAATTAATTTACTTCTTTAAACTTCCAAATCATTCCTATCTCTTCCTCAATCGATTGGTATTTTCTGTTTCTAGATAATAGTATCATTCTCTAGACCACCAACTCAGCTTCAACAAAACATATAGGATAAATGACAATTTAATAAGATATCCCAGACTTTACAAAATTAACTACTTGTTATTATGTCTCTTTATTCTTGATAGGAACTTGTGAAAAAAAGGGACGTGAATCAATGGCAAGAGCTCTCTAAAGGTCAAAAATGGAACCATCTGAATATCAAAGTAAATGAGGATTATAATCCCAAGTACAAAGGAAATTGGCATGAGTCCAAATTAATACAAATAAATAACTGAATAAATAAATGGGAAAAAAGAGACAAATCTGTTATGAAAAAGAATTCCAAATAAATTATGTAAATACTTTGTCATAAAGCAGGGGAATATAACTTCTCACTGATTACATGAGATTTTAAATAGTGACTTCCTTCCAAAGACAATGAATGAATATATAGAGACAATGAATTAAACTTTAAACTTTACAATAAAAAGACATGACAAACACTACTTCAGTCAGTGATAAATGTCGACACCAAAGGCTATAAATGATGATGATGGTATATACTTTGTATGTGATCAAAATATCAATTTACTGCTGTGATCTTTCTTATTAAAACAAAACAAAACAAAAACAAAACCAAAATTTCAGTGTAAACCACGAGAAAAAGAAAAAAATGACAAATTCCAACATAGGGGCATCCTACAGAATAGTTGACAGGTATTCTTCAAGGCTGTCAACATCATCAAAAAAAAGCAAAGTCTCAGGGGCTGGGGATTTAGCTCAGCGGCATAAGCGCCTGCCTTGTAAGCAGGCAGTCGTGAGTTCGATCCCTGGTACCGATAAAAAGGAAAAAGACAAAAAAAAAAAATTGTTCAAAAAAAAAAAAGCAAAGTCTCAATTTGCCACAGCTAACAGAAGCTTAAAAAGAAAAGATAACTAAATTGTAATCAGTATCCTGCATGCAATCTCAAAATAGTAAAAGGACACTAGATTAAAACCTAAGGAAATCTCAATAAAGTATGGATTTAGTTAATAACACGTTCATGGACTCACTGTAACAAATGTACCAGACTAAACATTAATAAAAGGGGAAACTGTATATGTGAGGGAGAGGTTACATAACTCCCTACTATCTGCTTTCTTTTTCTGTAAATTTAAAACAGTATTTTTAAGACTTCTATTGGGTTTTTTGTTTGTTTTTGTCTTGCTATGAAGTTCAGGGTGAGCTTGAATGGATTGTGTAACCCAGGCTGTCCTCATACTCACAGCAAGCCTCCTGCCTTAGCTTCCTGAGTGCTGGGATTACAAGCATGTGTTACCATGTCTGGCCCTTAAGAAGTCTATTTAGTAAAATAGTTCAATAAAATCAGAGTTGGAGTGTGCTAGAAAAAGACATGAAAGACAGGTTTTGTATCTTGATTGTATAGGAATATATATGCCAAAAATTATCAAATTTAGGTACACATGGTATATGTCCGTAATACCAGCACTCTGAGGAGCTGAGACAAAAGAATCGCAAGTTCCAGCTCAGCCTGGGAAACTCAGAAACTTGGCGAGATTCTGTCTTAAAAGCAAGGCAGCAGTGGGTGGGGATGTAATTCAGTGAGAGGGCTTTGGATTTTCGATTCCCAGTACATACACACATGCAAAAAAAAATCATCAAATACATCATCTGTGCATTTCATTAACATGTAAACAATATCTCAAGAAAAAGTATATGTATTTTAGTCCACACACAATTTTGTTATTGATTTTATAATTTTCTGTTCAATTTTAGTCTGGATAGACATAAATTGGTCAAAAACTTCTTCAAAAGAATAAACTTTATAAGACAAAACATTTGAATATCAAGCAGTATTCCTAAAATAAAACTAGAATTTGAGGACTAGGGATTAGGCTCAGTGGTAGAGTACTTGCCCAGCATGTACAGGGCCCTGGGCTCATCTCCCAGAACCAGAAAGGAAGAGAATGGGGGGATGGAAATAAGTATTTGAAAACTCATGGATAATAAAGGAATGATGAAAATGTAGGCTTATTAAGAATGGAGAGTGGAAGCCAGACTGGTCCTGAGAGAAGTAACAAGAAGCCAATTTGCCTTTCCTGTGAACTGGTACAAACCATGAGGCACAGGGAGGAAAAAAAAAGCCAATTTGCCTTGAATGAGTGTTGGTGGAAGCCAAGCTGGGCCTCAGAGAGATAACAAGAAACCAATTCACCCTTCCCATGAGCCAACCTGCAAGGGGCCTGGGAGGCACCCCAGCCCCACCCCTGTAAGCAACTGGTTGATTTGGAGGACAGACTGAGTTGACAGCAACTGAGGTACCAAAACAACCTAATGCTTGTATTATTTGATTGACTTTGCAGGCCTAAGGCCAGTAGTCTTAGAATTTATAAAGAAGATAACAAAATACAATATAGCAAATATGAGGGATTTCCTTCTGCCTTGTTTTTGAAATCCAATACTGTTCTCACTGTTTTGTTCTGTTTTATTGTTTTGTTCTCTTCAGTGTTCTGTTTTGATTGGTTTACTCTGCTCCGTTTTGTTTGATTTTATTATGTCTAATGGTATGGGCAGCAATTTTGAAGGTAACAAGAGGCATTATGATAACCATTGCTGATTTCTTATTATCTTGTTTTGAAGTCCTGTATTGCTTTCATTGTTCTGTTCTGATTAGCTTTATTCTGTTTTGTTTGGTTTGGTTTGGTTTTACTTTCTTTAAAAAAACAAGAGTTGAATTTTCTTTCCCATATTTAAGAGGCTTAACCTTAGGAAGATACTTGTGGTACCTCCTTCTAAGTGAGAAATCTGCTGGTGGCTTACAATTTATGCTTTCACCTTCCAACTCACATTAGTTCATTTTTTATCATATCTAGAAATCTCAAGTATGAAAGAAACAATAAAACACCAAAAGATCATTTCTACTAATAATGTTGAAACAAAATCACCTTATTTCAGGATTAAAGTTCACCAATAAATGGACAACTATACTTACCAATATAATTTACACAATCAGACAAACTTCTAGAAGCAAATGGCCCTTCATATACAGTCTTGCTTTTATCAAACAAATAAACCATGTAGCTATCACAGCCTCTCTGAAAAGAAACAAACAAGTCAAAATTCTGCTTGAAGATTCTTGAAAATTCTAGGTTTTCTAAATACTTAACCACCAGATGTCCTAGTTTAAAAAAATGCAAATGAACAAAGTCAACGTGCATTAACAAACATTGCACAGATTTGGGGTCTAAATTTTCATTGCAGATAAAAAAAATAAGGGTTAATGTGAAAAATGAAAAGATAATGCTTAATGAAAAAACTAGGTATAAGATGCTACATATTGTAAGATTTCACTGTGTGAATGATCCCAAAATACAAATCTATGGGAGCTGGGGATTTAGCTCAGTGGCATAAGCACCTCCCTTATAAGCACGCAGTCTTGAGTTTGATCCCTGGTACCAAAAAACAAAACAAAAAAAACACCAAATCTATGAAGATAGATCAGTGGTTATAAAGACTGGGCAGAAGAAAGATGAATAGTTAATAGGCATGAAGGATCTTATTGATAGAGAAATATTTTTAAACTGAATTAAATTTATTTTTAAAAACACCCAGAGAATAGTATACCTGACATGTGTGAATATGTAAAATATTCCTTTGCCACACACACAAAAAATAGAAAATACAAGTCATGACCAGAATTATATTTATCCTGTGGCAGGACCAATGAAACTGCTAGTCTGATTTCAAGGTTCTAGGCTTCAATTTTAAGGAAAAGAATGTGGGATAGAATTGGTATCAAAGATAGTCTTATAAAGTTTAAAATGACAAAAATACAATTTCTATCTTGTTTAATCTGCAAAGCAATGACAAAGTCACCAGTGAGGCAAAAGAATTATTATAAGACGTGCCTCGTTAGTATAGTGGTGAAAAAAAAAAAAGAATTATTATAAGATGTAAAGCACCAAAAGGGGTTCCATGTATGTATTAAAAAATGCAGAGCATGCAACAACCCTATACAGATTCCTTATCAGATTCTAAATATATTAGAACTCTGTTAAAACCCTTTTTATATAGCTCAGGAGGGTAACTATACAACAATTACTTACACACCTTAAAATAACCAAAAGAGAGGGAGAGTGAAGGTTCCCAAAATACAAAGATAATAATATTTGAGGAAATAGAAATGCTAATCCTCAGATTTGATCATTACACCTTGTAATATGTTTTGAATTATAATACTGTACCCCATAAGTAAACACAAATAAAAACGAATTCTTACAACTCCATCTAGAACACATTGAGAAGCTGGTTTCCGGGGATCCAGAGAAATTCCTGTCTCTGAAAGTAGTTCCTGAGAACCAGTATTTATCCCAGTTTCACGCTCAATACGAGATTGCAGTGAATGAAGACTTTCATCAGGTGGTAACAGAAAAGAAATTATCTTTGCAGAAGTCATATTTAGGATGTGTACTATCTGTATGAGTAAGAAAAAGTAAATTTATTGGTCATTTGCTACCTGTCAATTCAGTGCAAAATATTTAAAGTGTAGTATCAGCAGAAGGCATTACTTCTACACAAAACAAGGTTTACTCACTCTCCACAGTGAGATTTTCTATAATTGTAAAAACAACATTCTGAAAACTGATGTTAGTTCCAAAAAACAAAACTTTAAAATTTTAGAGACAGACATAATCAAGAAATAAAAATTCCAGTTAAAAAAAAAATTTAAAGTATTTATTTTGAGTAACAGTATTATGGACCTAAGACAAAATACTCTAATATATACAGTATGTAACAGATACTGATAATAAAAATAAGCAAGTCACAAAGCACTCCCATTAGACTTTCTAATCTCATTTTAGCAGACGGAAAAACCAGGGCTTTAGAACATCAAATGATTTGTTAGGGAACACACAGCTGGTAACTGGTAGAGCTTCAATCTGAACTCCTGTCTGACTACCTAATATTGCTTCAAGAAATAACCATCTAGAAGAGTAACCCTTTATTTCTATGGGGGAAAAAATAGTGCTATCCTCATAAGGCATCAAATCAGGGACCAGTGACCTGCCTAAAGCTTAAAGTTAGATAAGAAATTTTTGTTTTGTTTCATTTTGTTTTGTTTTGGTTATAGAGATACAAATTCACAACCTTGCTATTGCCAGGCAAGTGCTTATGCCACTGAGCTAAATCTCCAACCCTTAGAAGCTAGATAACAGTCTTATTACTCTCACCTAAAGCGCCAGTGTAGGTTGATATAGGTCAAGTGAGGGTCCTACTGAGTAAAGTGAGGCTCTCTCCAGTAACCGAGGACAGACACAGAGTAGAAAGGCATAAATGGCAGACAACAAATAACTACAGAATATACAAAATATGACTGACATATTTTATGGCAGACAGCATGTAAAGCAAAAGCAACCTGAAGATATGCCAGAGTGGCCAAGGAGATATACAGAGATGAGGATCATTCAGGGCAGAAACACTATTCATGAAAGCACAACAAAAGATAAAGGGATTGATGGCATGAGGAGCAGTAAAAAGCTTGTCTTGAGAATAGGAAAGAATTAGAGATCCTAAAATGGCGGCTTGCTAGGGGATTGGGCGGAGAGTCTCTCTGGAGAAATCATATTAGATGCTAGAATATGACAACATGGAGAGGGCCAGACAAATGGATAACGATTCTTATTAACCAAGACAGCGTGGCTGAAGGATTTAAAGTCGTGCTGAGACTGTGAAGACTGATAACGGGAGGCTGCAAATCCTGCACCTTTAATGCAGCAAACTGACCCGTGGACCCAACAGGAAAAGCTGTGTTGGCTTTTGGTGACTGCTGGAAATTGAGACTTGGGAACCCGAGAAGCAGCTAGGACTGCCCCGCTGCACTAGAGGAGATTGTGAAAGGCTCTGGAGCTCCGAAGCCAAACGCTGTGCAGTTTTCTGACCATTCCACGCTGTGGCAGGAGCACAGTGAGGGCAAGCGGCGTGGTGAGCAGTAGACTCAAGAGGAAGACCTGCACCAAGCCCTGGTGAGTACTGGGGACTGGGTCCCGCGGCTGCTGGGGTTGGCCAGAGAACATCTTGGAACTGGGCAGAGCCCGCCACCACGGGAACATCAATAACACAGAGAGTCTGGCGGAAGACATCTTAGAGTTGGGCAGAACCTGTGGCTTGGTGACATCACCGAGTCGCCCTGTAGAGAGGTCTGGTGGAGGACATCTTGAAATCGAGCAGAGACTGACGCTGTGTTGGCTTCAGCGTCATACAGAGAACAAGTGGAAGACATCTTGGAATTGGGCAGACTCACTGTCCTGGTGCTCCTGTCACAGAGAGGTCTGGAAGAAAATAGCTGGGATTTGGGCAGAACCCTGTGCCATGGTGACATTAGTCAGCTGCTTCTGGCACAGAGAGAATTGGCAAGATCTGCTGGGGCTGAACCAAGCCTCTGCTTGGGGCCCAATAAGCAGATACAAAATAGTCACAACTCAGTGACATCCAGAAAGTACAGCCTAATTTATGGATTGACTGGCACAGAGGCTGGAGGCTAGCCTGCACCATACCTGCATCCCAGCCTACCCCAGATAACAGCAAATTGGGGAGGACAGCAAAAATTCAAGTCAGCACGCTTCTGAAAGGCCCTAAGAAATCCCGAGAGGGCCAGAGACCCCCAGGACACTCCAGTCTGAAAGAATCCAGAAATATGACAAGAGATAAAAATAAAAAAAAATCTCCAGCTGCCCAACAGGAGAAAATAAGCCCAGGAGAAGTAAACACTGAAGAGAACAAGCACAGTAACCATGCAATACTGGACACAGCATCAGCCGAAATTAAAAAATACCTTTATGACCTCATAGATGAATTTAAAGCTGTACTCCTGATCCAAGTGAGGCAAGATATAGAGAGACTAATTAAAGAAATGACAAGCCCCGCCCAAGAGAACACAGATGGAAGAACTGAGGAAATGAGAAAAGAAAGAGAAACTTCTGAAGAAGAATTTAAACATAACTTAGAATACATGAAACAGATCCAAAGAGATTACCAGGAAACTAAAAACTCCATTGAACACTGGCAAAATATCCTGACAGAAACTAAAGACAGCCTTCTGAAACTTGAAGATAGATTTATGGCATATGATTGTAAAAGAAAAAGCCTCTTAAAAATAACAAGGAACCAGAAAGAAACAATTCAAAGGCTAAAAGATGACAAAAATATACATAACTTAAGAATAAAGAATGTGAGTGAGGAAGCAGGAGCAACCAAAAATGAAATATAAAGAGTATTCACAGATATATTAAAGCAAAATTTCCCATGTATAGCAAAAAGAAATGATATCCAGATAAAAGAGGCATACAGAACACCAGCTACCTACAACCAAAACAGATCTACGCCTAGACATATAATAATCAAGATTCCAGAAATCCACCAAAAGAACAGAATATTAAAAGCAGCCAGAGAAAAGAAGCAGATTACCTACAATGGGAAAATTATCAAAATAACAGCAGACTTATCAACACAAACTCTTAAGTCAAGAAGGGGATGGGGAGAAATATTCCAAGTCCTGAAAGAAAATAATATGCAACCAAGGCTCATATACTCATCAAAACTCTCTCTCAAAATTAATGGAGAAATAAGACGCTTCCAAGACAAGGAGGAACTGTGGGAGTTCGTGGCCACCAATCCAACCCTACAGAGAGTGCTAAAGGAGAAAGAGAGGAGGGGATTACAGGAAAGGAGAGGATACCAGGATTCCAGCAACAGTGGCAGACAAGTGAACAGGGCAGACAGTGGAATGAGGGAATAAGGTGGACAAATTATAGCAGAAAAGTGGAGTAGCAGACATGAGGCAGAGATGATAAGCTATAGTCTTTAGTATAGACAGCTCTGAAACACTATAAAAAAAGGCAGAGGTCATTGTTAATAGTGTATCAGGATTTAAAAGACACAGTAGTCTTACCGCCATTATTTAGTTTGAATTTAATTTGTTCTAGTCTGTCCACTCATGTCAGATTTGAGGGCACAGACATCTGACCCAAAAATAGCAGATTATACCCTGGTAACTATCCTTACTTTCCTATTAACTTAAACTGAAATCCTGTATTACTTACATTGTCTTACTATGATTGATCTTAATTGAATCTGAATCATAAGACCATGGGTTGGCCTTGGCTTTTATTTGAATTTGGTATGCTTATTAGTATCAATTCTAAAAGTAGAGGCAATTACTCTGAAGATGACAAGATATAAAGGATATCCATACTGGTATTAACTATTAACAGCTCTCAAATCCTACAATGCTTTCAAAGCTGTATTTTTATAAAAATAGGTAAGACTATGTTTAACTATATTAAGCCGGTATTGTGGACAAATCTATTGAAAATAACAAGAGAAAACATAGTATAACTACGGAAGATCATCTATATTGTGGTCTTATATGTCTTATCCATTGCATGTTTTTCTAGGAATTTGTTTTCCTGTCTTGTTATGACTTGTTTTTCCCTATAATACAGAGAGGATAGATATATATGTAGAAATTCACACATGAGTTTTTTTTTTTTTAAATTATTTACAGGAACAGATTATATAATGCAAGATGCAATGAACAGATACTCTGAAGAAGAGACGCTAAGAAACCCAATGCTAATTTTGTAGCATTATGATATAAATTCTAGCAATACTATTGTTCGCTGATTAGAATGACATTGGTCTGGTCTCTTGAGTTCTATTTCAGCATATGTAGAGATGGGGACAGCTACCACGAAGAGAGTGAGAGATGCGATGGTGGTTATTATTGTCTTCCCTAATGTTGGATCTTGAAGGCCTAGAAAGCCTTCATCATCCTGTAATTATTTGATTAGTTCTATAATATGCAATAAGTATATAAAGTGGGTGAAGATTATCGCCATATTTAGTTTGAATTTAATTTGTAACAACTATTTGTAAGAAACTAGAGACAGTTGGATAGACAGTGAAGATCTCCAGTGGACTTGCTTTGAAATCTGTATTTCGTTAAATTGTTTTTTTAACTGGTTTTGTTCTGTTTTGGTATGTTTAATCTTACCCTCTTTGAGATGTAAAACAAGTGTGTAGGACTGATAACCATATTACTGAGTTTTTGTTCGATCATTGAGCAGAACTGTTTGTAGTGTCACTTTTTGAATGTCATTCTAAATACTTTAATCTTGAAACCTGAACAGCTATTTGTAAGATGACAATATGTAGCTTACCAACCGGCAATTTCTTACCATTTGTTTTTCTGTAATTTTGTATTATTTCTACCCTTTTTTATCTCCATGTATTTTTTTGTTTCCTTTTCTTTCAATTAAAAAAAAAAAAAAGCTTGTCTTGAGTGAGGTAGCAGTTATGAAAAGCAGGTGTAAGGTATGTATTTGATTGAGTGAACCTGCTTTAAAAAGCTGAGCAGGCAAGCAGATTGGTTTAAATGTGACTTAATAAACAAAACAAACAAATCTCCTCAACCTCTCCAACCTTCATTAATTTTCTGGACAGAAGATGAAGGAAAATGTGCAGCCACACTACCCTGAATATGTCTGACCTCTTCTAATTTTGGAAGATGACACAGGGCAGTGCATATGTTGCATAGACTACACAATGGAGAGTAAGTATACAGATATGAAAGCAAGAACCTTTCTCAGTAAATCAAATTTAGTATGATAAACCTAACTGAATGAGGTATTAATGGTACCAACAATGGAAAAAGTAAATAAAAGATGCTTCAAAGGAATAATCAATAAAGGCCATTTAGAAGCAAACTGAACAAGCTTGCTTAAGAAATAGAAAAGCATCAGCTCTAAGACTGTAATTTTCTTTTTCAAATAAATAATAGGAAAAATTATTAATTTATATTTATGCTCAGTTTTAAAATAAACTTGTTAACTTTGATGTAGATCTTAAAAAATATACTTTCTTAAAACTAACCTTCAAATTCAGAATGTGATCCATTAATACAAAACATCTTGGTTGCTTTAAAGTAAGGTCAACAGGTCCCCCTCGCTGCTGTGGGTCCCAATTCAGCATCAACTGTAGCCAGTTTTCCATTGGTTCTACCACCAAACTAGGAAATGTACAAAAATAGGGTGAATATGGTTATGTTTCAACTTTCTTTAGTATTATATAAAAAACAATTTAAAGAAATTTTTTTGGTACTGGGGATCAAATTCATGACCTTGACACTTTGCCAGGAAGGCACTTGTGTCGCTGAGCTCTAGCACCTAAAAAAAAATTTTTATAGGCTGTCCATTTCTTTTTTCATCATTTATCTATACTATTTTATATCTTACTTTAGAACAGTTCATATCATGATAGAGGACAAACTTTTTTCTACAAGAAAATAGATCCAAAAACCCACATATATAAATTTAATAATGGCAACTCCAACAGATAAGTCCTCATTCATTCTTCAGGGAACTTATTCACTGGGACTTTTTAGCATCTAAGCCAATCTCCTGAAGAGCACCGATTCTTGGTTCCAATAATATTTGTACTTTCTAATGGGACCCACTAGTCACAATGTTATTTACATTTATTATTTATTTAAAATACAGTTCCTTAGTCACACTACTTAGTTTTTAACTTTTGTTTCTTTTTTCTTTTTGGCAGTGCTTGGACTTGTTCCAGGCAATTTAGGCAATGTTCTATCAGTGAACTATTACCTCAATCCTTTTGACACCTTCCAAGTGTTAAAAAACAGCTCAATAAATTCTGTGTGATCAATGTAGATAACAGAGTATATCCACTATTACAAACAACCACTATATTATTCTTATACAGCCCTAAAAAAACTGAGGCAAACTTTCTCAACTAAAATGTACTTACCTACAAAGGCTGTTTGGTTGGGGTAAATGGCTACTAAACCGAACTTCTCCTGTCATCTCTTCACATGCAAATATACATTTTGGGTCCTTCTTCTTAATTTTTTCATGCCTATAAAAACAAAAGATACCATGGTCAACAACCTGATTCTCACAAATATTTTAAAATTTCCTGCCATTTTATGCTATTCAATTCTGATTTCAAAAGGCAATCACAAAGCAAATGTTAAAAAAAAAAAAAAAAAAAAAAAACAAATGAGAACATTTCTATGCACATTAAGCACATAAAAGTTCTCATCTATGTCTTACCAGGTAAATGGTTGCAGATGATGCAAAAAAGGCCTATATCCAGCAATACATTCAAACACCATTGTCCCAAAGCTCCAATAATCAACAGTGGCTGTATAAGGCTTATTCTCAAAGAGTTCTGGGGCCTAAGAAAGAAAATGTTTCAAATGCCAATACTATAAGGGAAAAGCTACTTTATTCTTGAACTACTATATACATGACCTTCATAAAAAATAAGAATCTCATACCTTTAAATTCAAAGAAATAATATATATCTCACCAGATATTGCAGCGTTCCCACAAAAGATGTACAGAGACTTCCTTGATCAACATCTTTGGCATATCCCAGATCAATTATTTTGTGCACTATCTGCAAAATAATAAGACAGAATAATTATTAAATGGTTGAAGTACTGGAAAGCAAAGGGACAATATCTTCGTGAGATTGCAAATAGTGAGGTAATAAAAAGCTTGGGCTCTGAATTAACAATTTATTTCAAGGCTGAGCTCCACCAGTTAACTAGTCATGTGTTCCTGATCAAATTATTTAACCTCTTGCAGTTTTTTATATCATTAGATAACAGTCCTTACTTTATAAAATTACTTATTAAGACTTAAAATATTGAAAATATAGAATTTAACACAGTGTCTGGGACATAGCAAAAAATAAATATAGGACTATTAATTTTTATTTTGATATATTTTGCATAAACTCCATCCATTAAACTGGAAGGCACTGAATGACTTCCAAATTTGCAGGAGTATACTATAATAGGAAGGATTAAATGTAAATCAGCACCCTATGTAAATTCAAGTATGTCCCTAAGTTTTCAGGTAAGAAAAAAATAGCAAAGGTAATTGATGCAAAGTATACATTAAGGGCTCGTATGAAATGCATCTTCATCAAAGTGCCATCACTTCTGACTTACCACTAAGAGCTCACTAAGAGCTGGCACATAATCCGATGCAGACATGAAACTTAAGATGTTAAAAATACGCAAACTGCTCTAATTATTCTGATGAAAATAAATATACGAGGTGTTAATTTACAATTTCTGGTTCTTAATCTATTTTGGAATCTGATAAACCAAGTTTTTAAGTTTTAATTAAATGCAGAACTTAATTAAATACTGTTATCTTGTACTCTGAAAAACTAACTTAAAGATAATATATCATGTATTAACCATTGTTACCTTCTTATTATCTCGATTTGAAATTTAATTTTTTCCCTATAAATTAAAAAATAAAATAAATACAGAACTTAGGATATGGAAGAAGCAAAATGAATTTTAAGGAAACATACTTCTTTTCTTAGAGTAAAGCAGGCTCAAAGTGTATACGTGTATGTTTTAGATGTTCTTCATAGCAGTGAAATAGTAAAGGTTGATAACTTATTTACTTGTTGCCTACTATCTCTGCTACATAGTGTGCTGGAAAAACACATGAACAAAACAGGTTCAGTTTTTTCCCTAATGAAGGCAATATTTAGACAAAATCTAACCACAGAACCACAGTTGAGTTGGTGAGGACTCAAACAGAAAAAGTATAGAAATGCTCTATGATGAATGTGATCAGAGTGCCGGGGATTTAGCTCGTGGCATAAGCGCCTGCCTGGCAAGTATGAGGTTGTGAGTTAGATCCTCAGTACTACAAAAACAAACAAAAAAAAAGGAACCTTTACAGTGAATGTGATCAGCAGGTATATCTAAAATGTACCAATAAAATCTGATTAAAAAAAGAAGAGAAACAGTGTAGAGTGCTGTGGGAACACATCAAGGACACCAAAGCTTTAAAACTACATCAAGGAGACTGTATGCAATAGGCACAGAACACATTTTTAGGCTTACCTACCTTTCCACCAACATCCTGAAGAACTATATTTTCAGGTTTTAGATCTCGATGTATAATTTTATTTTCATGTAAATATCTAATCCCAGACCCTAAATAAAGTTTAAAAAAAAGTATTTTGAAGAGAAAACACTGAATTAAAAAAAATCCATATCACATTTTATACAGATCTGCCCTGATGCTTAAATTTACATAGACCATCATAATCTCTCAATGATTATTACAACAGTTCAGGTTTTCTTTACAGAAAATACAGTAACATTAAATATACTATAACATTACAATATATATTCATTCAATTTATTAGAATTAACATTAAAAAGAAATGGAAAGATACCAAGAAAATTCCTCTAACCCTTATGTCATTTTCCTCTCACCCTAAATCATCCTTGTCAACTAGACTTCAGCCCTTATGACCTAGGAAAAGAAGCAAAACTAAAACATAGGAAAACCAATGCTTAGCTTTTGTGTATCCTCTAAGGGCCTACGCTCTGTTATCTCAGGGATTTTTCAGGAATAGTTCTGATTAAATACAGAATTTTACTCTCAGAATTGACTTGAGGACCTATCTCGTAAAGAGATCCAATTCCATGGTGAACAAAATTACTATGTCAATCAAGGGTACAGGGAATGAAACGAAGAACTTCATTTCATACTATTTCTTGTCAGTATCTAGAAGATCTGTTAGGCAAATGATTTATAGCCAAAACCAAAAAAACAAAACAAAAAACAACAAAAAACCCCAAGATATCCTAGTTTTAAGTTAGGATGAATAGTAATAAATGTTTATAATTAACATCTGGTTTGCATAGTGTATTAACAATTGTCCTTAGTTCCCAAGCAGTACACAGAATCTTTTATAGACAAAGGGCACTAAATCATAATGGCATTTTAAAATGTTGATTACATACCTATATCACTGAGTAAAGAAAGTATCTGGCTTTCTTTAAGTCCACAACAATTTTCTGGTTTGTTGAGTAGCTAATGAAAAAAAATAAAAAGAAGTCTAAAAATGTATACTACAAATTGCTAGGAAGTAATAGCAATTCATATTAATCACTATACTCTAAAAGAATATTCCAGTGAGGGAGAAAGTCATTATATAAAGTAAAGGAAGGGGAAGCCAGGGATATAGCTTAGCAGCATAGTATTTGCCTGGCAAGTACAAGGTCCTGAGTTCGATTCCAGATCCGCCCCCCCAAAAAAAGAATTTTACAAAAACTCTGATTAATATCAGAAATTAAATGGACAGCTATTTTGAAAAGAATGAGAGACACTATGACAGCCATTGTTGGCTTCCCTATTGTCTGGCCTTGAAGATCTAAAATGCCTTCCTCATCCTGTTCAGATCAGTTTTATATTACGTTGTTTCGTGTGAATTCTCTGTATGTGAAGATATGGACAACTATTCAGGAGAAAACAAGAGACAATATGATAGATTGTGAAGATCTCTGATTGTCTTGCTTTGAAATTTATGTCTCTTACATTGCTTTCTTATGTTCTGTTTTGATATGTTTAATTTTACTCTCTTTAAAATAAAAAATAAAAAAAATCAGAAATTAAAAAGCAAAAGAACAGAAAAAGATCACCAAATCCAAATTGAGGACATGTAAATTTCAATGACAAAACTCACAAAACTAAAGGTGGCAAAGGGGCAAAAGTATTTGAAATTGATATTGAAAAAGATTGACAGATCTCACAGATATATTTATATACAAATAGCCATGTGGATAAATTTAAAATGAGTTAGGAAAGAAAGCCTATAGTAGAAAAGACAACTTTTTATTGTTGCTGTTTTAAACAGGGTCTCACTATGTAACCCAGGCTGGCCCTGAACTCACAGTGATTCTCCTGCCTCAGTGCTGGGATTATAGGACTGCACCACCACGCCCAATTGAAAAGATTTTTTTAAAGCACCTTTTTAAAAGCACCTTAAACACAGATTGATTTAATTTTACAAACTTAGTCTAGTTTTATAAACAACCAAAAATATGCATGTTCTAAATCAGGAATTGACAAGCATTTTCTATATGGCGACAGATAGCAAGCAGTTTAGGTTTTGAAAGCCATGAGGTCTCTGTCAGAACTACTCAGTTCTGCAGCCATAGACAGGAGTATGGCTGTCTTCTAATAAAACTTTAATTACAAAATAGGTATAAGGCCACAGTTTTCTGATTCTTATTACAGACTGTCACATAGAATGATTATTCACAAATGCTGAAGTTTATGATTTACTATCTTATTATCTCAAAGCATTCATACTACCTTCCGGAGATCTCCTCCAGAACAGTATTCCATTGCTAGAAGAGGCACATCATTAATCAAAAAATTCAGTTCCTCAGGAACATCACAGGCCTTTACAACATTGGCATGGTTCAACCTAAGAAGAAGGGAAATACATTGTGAAGGAAATAGATTTGAAATAGCAGTTGATTGGGCGTTAGGGAGTGACATGGGGAACACTGATATTTTATAAAATTCTAATTTGTGATTTGTATAATAATCAGTAATTCTGGAAGAAAAATGTATGTTAAAATACCATCATTATTAATACATTAATTCATTTACTTGTCACAGTACTACTAATAAAGTAGATTTACTAAGAGTTTCATAAAACAGAAAGAAACTAAAGCACAAATTGGTTAAGTAACAAGATCTCACAACAAGTAAGTTGTTAATAAGGATTCAAATCTGACAGCCTGGCTCTAAAGCTTGCGTATCAGTGGTTGTAAACCAATGGCACGTGTACTGCAGCAGGTTCACAGAGCCCGCTGTCAGCCTGTGAACCAAGTTGCTCCAGCTCTGCCCTAGCAGCCAAGTATTCAGGTTTAACTGCAATGTCGCCACTCTGTGATACATAAGTGGGTTTTGGGTTGTAGTCTGGGAACTCGATCTCTAAAACATTTACCATCACTGGTCTCTAGCATACTACCTATTAAATGACCACCTACAGTGTCACTCAGAGGTGAATATTAAGAAAATTAGGCATATTTCTAGCTTTAGCACAAAGTTTTAAATAAATGGTGAATCACATTATATATTATCTAACAGTTCTTTTTTTTCTTATTAACATTCTGTCAGTCATCATGATGATCAAAGGATATAGATTCCCATACTCTAAGACCTAAAGAAACACAATCTCCATATAGAGGGCCTGAGAATTTATATTATCCTTTCCTGATGATGGTTCTTTTTTTTTCCTGATGATTATTCTGCCAAGTTTGAGAACTATAAAATTGAATTGAGCAGAACATGGGAGTCAGAAAATGCTCATTTCAAACCTAGACTCTATTACCAGCTATGGGTCTGTATGAGCTCCAACTTACTCATATACAAGACAGGGAGAATTCCTAAACACAGAGCTATAATGACAACTAAAGGAATGATCTGTACAATTACACCACAGAAGCATATTGCCTCTGAAAGTTTAAAATATGTACACCTCTCCCTTTAAGAGCTTAATTATTTTCTCCCTGAGTATACCATATAATCAGTGACTTATTTCTGTGTTTGTTTTTGCTTTGTGTTTGAGACAAGGTTTTGATATGTAGTTCAGGTTGACCTTGCACTCACTATGTACTCAGACTGGCCTCCAACTCACAGCTATCCTCCTGTCTCAGCTTCTGTGGTGCTGGGTTTATAAGGGTATGCCACCATAGATGGTTAGTGACTCATTTCTAACAAACAGAATTTGCTGGAAACAATGAAGTGTGACTTCCAACGATACTTTACAAAAGATACATCAGCCTTCATCTTGTGCTTTCTCTTTCACAAATCACTTGCTCTGGAGAAGCTGGCTGTCACGTCATTAAGACATGCAGGCTTCCCTATGGAGGCCCACATGCCAAGGAACTGATGCTTCTCACCAAAAGCCACACATGTGGGCCTGGAAGTGGCTATATCATTCCTGATGAAGACTTTGGAAGACTGAAGCTCTGTTCAGCAGTATGAGCTATCTCAGGAGGGACCGTGAGCTAGAACCATACAGCTAAGTTCCAAATTCGTAAGCCTCAAAAAGCATGGTCAGTAAATGCTTATAGTTTTAAGCCACTGAGTTTTTACAAAGCAGCAGGGGTATAAAACAAAAGTAGATGCAAAAGAAATGAGAACAGTAATATATCACAATTTATAGTAATTTAACTAGAAAGTATGATATGTGGAGATTTCTCAAGATCCAGAAGAAATAAATTCTGCCTTCTGAGAACTGAGTCTACACTACTTCATTTTTAAACTGAACTTTCTTAATAATGTGATGTAATTACCTGAAATAGAATAAATACAGCTGATAACAGAAAAATATGTTCCCAAAAAGATCCCGAGAAGAATGGCTTCCTAGCTCCCTTCCCTATGATAACAACTGGCTGGGTTGGGACACCAAAGAAATGTAAGTCGTTGGGTACACTTACTTCTTCATAATCTGGATTTCATGGCACCATCGTTCTCTGTTTTTGGTACTTAGCTCTAGTCGGCAAGACTTAATAGCTATTTTGAGATCAAGTTCCTGCCAAAACAGAAAGTTCAACAAAAAATAAGTTATATTCTTGTACAGATTTGCTTGCTAACAAAGAAGCAACCTGGGAAAATAACACTTTTAAACTTACTAATTAGATATACTATACACAGCTTTCTTGAGTCTACGTTTTTGTTAGATAAACCATGAGACTATTAAATTGATGCTTTCAAAATGTGTAATCTCTGACACAAACCAGAGGTGTGGTAAAGCTGTGTATGAATAAATAGAGAAGTGCCCAAGGGCTGGAAGGGAAAATATTATAGGAGGGGAAGTAAGACATACCTTGAATGGGATAGTCTGGATTGGGAGTTGGGAGAGGGAAAGAGGCTAAAGACAAGATAGTTGATAATGTGTAAAGGGAGGAAGGAATGAGAACAAACTATAAACTAGCCCAACCGCAGGACTCACTCTTTTCAACTTTTCTTTATGAACAGGACCCTGGTTGTAACTACATGTCATGTAGAGTTTTACTACCATCTAGACCATCTGTATGATCATGAACAACATTAAACTCTAAATATTTTGGAGCTGGACAGCAAGGACGGCTGCACAATGCAAATGCACTTCATACAACAGAACTGTATACATTATATACAGGGTTTAAAATGACAAATTTTACTTATATGTTTTTTTAACAATTTAAAGATAGAAAATACTAAGTTAAATCACTTTCCTTACATTTCCAACTTTTCAATCTCTAAACAAAGCAATATCGGGGGCTGGGGATTTAGCTCAGCGGCATAAGCGCCTGCCTTGCAAGCAGGCAGTCGTGAGTTCGATCCCTGGTACCGATAAAAATGAAAAAGACAAAAAAAAAAAAATATTGTACACAGCATTTACCCAAATCATTTGAACAAAATAAAGTGATCCTTTGACATGCAGAAGATTGTTTCCAGGACCTGGTATCAAAGGATACCAAAATCTGCAGGTTCTCAGTCCATTACATAAAATAACATAGTATTTGCATATAACCTATGCATATTCTCCTGTATACTATAAATCATTTCCATATGTCTTACAATACCTAATAAAAGGTAAATGCTATATAAATAGTTGCCACATGTTATTATGATGATGATGATGATGATGATGATGATTTTGGTTTTTTGAGACAAGGTCTTGCTATGCAGTTCAGGCTGGCCTTGAATTCGAATTCAAGTAACCCCCTGCCTCAGCCCCCGACATGTTGAGATTACAGGCATGCACTACCATATCTGGCAGCATGGTATTATTTAGGTAAGAATGACAAGAAAACTTCTATATATGTTTGGTACAGATGCATCCCCCCGCCCCGCCAAATATTTTCAATGTACAGTTGGTTGAATCTGTGAATACAAAATTCATGGAGGTCCCTTTTCTTTTTTTCTTTCCCATGCTGGGGATTGTTTTGCATATGCTGGGCAAACTTTCTAATCTTGATCTATATTCCCAGTCCCTACATCCTTTCTTTAAAGTATTTCATGGAATTAATTTCCCCAACACAGGATGAGAAGTGCTACCACACTGTACTTTGTTTCGATGTCCATTTCTTTTGTAGACTTGAAACCTACTATAAGGTAAATAAGGCTCTTGTTGCTGATTTTGGCACCATCAATACTGAGCACAGTAACTAACTAAATAAGCCACCTCATGTCCTTCTTCTTCACTGAACTTTGAGAACTTTAGGTAAAATATTGGGACATGGGTTCTACATAAACATTAGTGTATATTGAAAGCTAAGTGATCCTGTTTCCTAGACTTACTATAGATTTTTCCTTACTCTAGGCCTGGTTATCAAATGTTCCCCTTTTGAAGAAGGGCACTATCTCTGACAAACTAGAAGTTCCTAAGAGATTTCTAAGACTAGAGGGCCCAAATCTCTTCTATTTAAAGTGATGAACTCCACAGAGACAAAAATAGAATAGCATTGCCAGCAGATATGGGTAAGAAGAAATGGGAATTACTATTTAATGGTTACAGAGTTTCAGTTTGGGAAGATGAAAAAGTTCTGGAAATAAATGATGGTACTGATTGTATATCAATGTCTATATGCTCCATTGTGAAACTATGGAAACTAAAATGGTGAAATTATGTATTCCTTACCACAATAAAATTTCTGTTTTTGTTTCCAGTGCTAGGAATTGAAACCAGGGCTTGGTGTATGCAAGCCCAAAAAGAAGATGAGGCCAGCCTGACTATACAGTGAGTTCAAGGCCCACTTGAACACATAGTGAGACTCTGTCTCAAAAAAAAAAAAAAAAAAGTCATAAAAGTATATCAGCATGCATACTTTTTCCCTTATGACCAGGCTAATGGCTAGGTTTAGATAACACAAAAATATCTCACTGAAAGCACTTAGCTACCTCTTTTCCTTTGAATGCACTATGTTCCCTCAGATGCTAAAAATTAATAAATTTATACTTTTCTAGTAAAATACTTAATGCCTTAATGCTTCACATTCTACTCTCTTACTCCTGTGTTCTACTTAGAAAGCTGTTTCAGTTTTCCTTGTTCTACTGTGACACATTTCATTTCAACTAGCACACAAATACATCAACTCTATGAAGGTAGACTTCTATCTTTGCTCTCTCCTGTCCTTAATTATAGGGTCTCTATCTATAACCATACTCCTTAAAACAGCAAATTATGATTTCTCCTCCCATAAACCAAGTACTATAGCAATACCTTAACTGTTCATCTTGTCCTATGTTTTTCCAAATTTATCCTTTGCAAAAGTAACCTTCCTAAAACAGTATTTTTATCTTGATAGCTCCTTTTTTAAGATCAATTAAAGATGGTTAAAATTATAATAGTATCAACAGCACAAAGCAGAAGCTGGACTTGCGACGAGGCCTTTGCCAGGCCAAATACTACTCAGTTTTACAAATATTGCCATCTTAACTCTCAAATAGACTCAGGATGTGTGATAGAAAAAATATAGTAATTGTTTCATTTTTAAAAATTATTACAGTAAAAGACACATAGCCCAGTGCCTGCCTAACAAATGCCAGGTCCGGAGTTTGATTCCTGGTTCCTCCCACCAAAAGATATGTAGCCATCAATAGCCTGCAAAACATCTTCCTTTTGAACACATATCCCATTGCTCTTGCCACTTTGTAAAGCAGCCTGGAAGTCTTTCCTTGATATCTTTACTGGTGCTGTGCAGGCTACCTCACTGCTTGAATCCATTCAAAATGTTACCTTTCATAGTAATTCTGGATTTGGGGAAGAGCCAGAAGTTGTAAGGTGCCAGATTGGGTGAATATAGTGAATGAGGACACACCGTAATGTTTTTACTTGCTAGAAATTGCCACAAACAGTTGATTAATTTGGGATGATCATAAAATATGGTGAATGTTTTAATTTAAAAGTACAGTGAAAGACAATGATCACTAATTAACCTCAAAATACCCCTGTTTGGAGCACTTATCTTTCTTGGCAGTGTGTCTTTTTAAAATTTGAACACTGATTGTATCTTTTGATCATCTCAGATATACATTATCAAGCCTTTTATTGATAACGAAACAAAAACTATACTTCAAGGATTATTAGTTTCGTGCCTTTTCACCAAAAATGTCCTTTAGGAGAACGTGAACCCTTTACATGGCAAGGTCTGGATGGGCATCTGTGCTTTTTTCTTGGTAAAAGGTTCATACTTTTTATTGATATACTAAAAGACACATGACTCAAACATTAACCACTGTTACAATGGTAAAATATTTTCAGTTAAAGTAAATTCCTTGAATCTGACGTTATTTGTCTTCCACAAAAGTTTCCACTTTGAATATGTATCTTTTCCTTTTTAAGATATGATCATTTTCACCAACCTACCCTCGATTTGTTCTCTATCTGGAATGCACAACCAATTCGAAAGTCTACCAGTGCTTCCATAGGTTTAACTCTAGGCCTACTATGAAGCTTTCCTATCTATTCCAGTCTCTACTGAGTCCACCAAGAAGATACACATAGGAACACACATCTAACAGGAACGTGCGTCCCCCACTAGCCCTATTTTCTCATCCATTCGAGCTCACACATACACTCGGATATGCAAATGCCTCACACACCCTCACAGTTTAGATTCATAAAGACACATAATCATTGCAGCTCTCACGAAACAGCTAGTCGTATCTTGACACTCATACCTAAATTCGCCCTAACAGGTCTTTCAACACACTGCCCTGGGACCTCAGATACAAACTCAAACTCCGTCGCCCAAGCTGACACAGTATCACTGTCACTGTGTCTCTCTCTCTCTCTCTCTCTCTCTCTCTCTCTCTCTCTCTCTCTCTCTCTGTCACACACACACACACACACACACACACACACACACACACACGCTCATTGATTTGCAGCTACTGCCTCACACACTGACAATCCCCGTATTCTAGACTCTGACAAACCCACCACTGCTCCCTCCTGCGCCCAGCCTCACCCGATGCTGGTACAGACAGACATTTCCGAACCCGCCGGTGCCAAGCCGCTCTCGCATCTCCCAGGGCCCGCCCGCGCCCTGCCGCAGCCCCGGGGGCCGCTCCATAGGGCGGGAGGGCAAGCAGCTTTAGATTCTGCCGCAGTTCCAAGGCCGGTTCCGGGCAGCGGAGGCTCGCGGGTCTTTGTTCTCGCGAGACTGATGCGTCACTTCCGGTAGCTGCCGCCGGAGAAGCCTCACCCCTAGTGCTTTCTACTGGTCTGCAGTCTCAGGCAGCCTCTGTGTGAGCCGAGTTTAAGTGTCTTGGGCATTCACGTTGAGAGGACCCACGTGTGTTTTTCTAGACTTGAAAAATATAAGGTCTCTCCAAACTTGAAGTCAACAGTCTCACACGTATTCTTTTCTAAATTTCCATTGTGTGCATTCCTGTCTACCTTTACCTTTTTAAAAAATTCAAGACATCTATCCTCCAACTCCCCCACCTGCTGAACCGGCACTGCCAAACGCCACTAAAGATTTAGATAGTGGACAGAAAAAAGCATTCGAAAGAATCCTGCGCCAACAGGCCCATTGATGCCTTAACTTTAAGTTAATTATGACTTTCCATAGCAATCGTTCCCAAGATCTCGCCTATAATCACACAGGTCAAAGATGATGTTATTCCGAGTAAAGACTGTTTTTCTTGTTTTGAAAAGCTTCCCTAAGCGTCTCACAGTTTGCTGTCCATCAGCCTTCTAGGTACAGCTTTCTAGTGGTGGTTTTTAGTTACGGGAATTGTTTCTGAGACTTGTGGCAGGGTTGTGAAGGCAACAAAGCTGTTGGTGCATTAAGAAGTACTTCTGAGTGGCAGACTGCACAGGGGAACCAGCTCTTTGTTTTCCACCTAACTCAGCCATCTGCTTTATGGAATCCAGGGATCCCAATAAGTTTAAGAATCAACATGGAATCAAATTCTCATTTTAAAGAGTTGATGCAACTAAATGTTGAGTGCTGGGCCATTGATACTATTGTATGGAAGATGCTGGTTTTCAGATTTGGGCGGTTTACAAGGAACTGGAGTGTAAGACTTGGATGTAATGGCCAACAAAGCTTCTGAGAACACATCCTTGATAGATGGGCAGACTGTATACAGCACTGGTGCATACTGTCCTGAAAATATGAAGAAGCCCTGTAGCTGGTGGCAATGGAGCTTCATTCTCTAATTCTTACCCAGAAGAGATAATGAGCGATGCTGTATACCACAGCCAGAATAGTGATGATTGGACTGACCCAAAGTGGCCATCTTTGCAGAAATCAGGTCAGTTTCCATAGTTTACTTTTTAAAAATTCCCACTCAGCTCAAAAAAAAAAAAAAAAAAAAAAAAAAAATCCTAGGCTGTCTGACTCCAGGTTCCACAATCTGTAGGTTTGCAAGCCTGTTTTTTCATGTATACCTCACAGAGATTTTGTAAGGATTAAGTGAAACAGTGCCTGGGCCATAAATACTCAATATATAGGTATACAGAAACAATTACTTTTCTTTCACTTCCAACATGTAACATTCTCCTGTGAGTTCTCTGCAGCTTCTCCATGTACTACTGGACTACTCCACTTCTAAGCACTCCTTAAATATTGGGCATGTTTAGCTTAGGACTGTATTTACTCTTTTTTGTGTACATACTTCTACATTGTAGAGGAAGTTACAGTTTTTTCAAATGAACACAGGTATGAACAACCTAGAATGAAAATGACTTTCAGAACACAGTAACCACTAATATCCTACTTATGTTTGGAACAGATAGCAAGTATCTATACTTGCAAATCCTAGTATACCTAAAGGCACCAAAGATACCTTCTTCGATGCAGCTACTTAGGAAATGTAAAAAGGTACCATCTAGCATCAAATGGAGGGCTAAATAGGGGAGTCACTTCTAACTTTTATGAATTGAAGTTTATCCAAAATTTTGGTATATATAGTCTCATTGTCTATCTTATTTAAAAAAAACACTTAAGACTGGTGGCTTTGGATTTTAAAGCTTGCACTCCTGAGTCCCCCCCCGTGTTTTTGCACTTTTTAAAAAAATATGTTCTCCTTCAGGTCAGTTTTATTTTTATAAGGTCTGTCATCCCATTTTCTTTTTTTTAGGAGTTTTAAAGAGGATAAAATAAGGAAAACAAAACAATAAAAACCAATCAAAATAAACCAGTGTAAGTAACACAGGACTTCAGAACCTTATGAAATTAACAATAGTTACCATAATGCCTTTTGTTGTCTTCAAAAGAGCTGCAGATACCTTTGGACATAGTAAAAATTAAACAGAACAGAAACAATATAAACAAAACAATGAATGCAATAAAGGACTCTAAAAAAAGCCAATAGTTAACCCAAAATGGCTACCATAATATGTCTTGCTATCTTTTAAACAGCTGCTCATACCACCAGATTTAACATAATCAAACAGAAAGAGAATAAAACCCAACCCAACTAAACAATGAAAATGGTATGGTTTCTAGGCTCAGATCACTTCTCGGTGAGGCCTTGTGGGTGTCCCCACCCATCCATGGCAGTCTGTGAATGGCACTGACTCACAGAAGCTTGGGTCTGGCTGTCCCCACTTCAGGAGTGGCCTGTGCATGGCCTGTTACACGATTTTCTCCCAGGACACTGAGTTATACTATACTTCATCTATTTCATAGAGGTCCCTAATTATGGTGGAAAAATGAATGTGTTCTCCTTACATTCATTAAAATACTATTAAGTCAAGCACAGATAGGTCAATGGGCCAAGAAGTATAACCTTTCATTTTAATAATCTGATAGGCACTGTCAATCACCTCTTCAGGTATTTTCCCACTGCTCAGAATCTATTAGTCGATCAGTTAAGCCTTTTAATAAAATGCTGACAGCACATGGAATGCCTAACAGTCTACTTCCTATAATGGAGACCTTACGATGACAAAAAGGCTCTTCTGAGGGGACTTTTTTCATAAGCACATTCTTCGCATTTTCTATTATGGACACAAGTGAGATCAGGTAGGAGCCCCAGAAGGGGACTTATGCCACCTGACACGCTGATGAAGCCAAACCCAGTCCTCAGAAATTCACTCCTGGAACGTTTTTTCTCTGGATGGCCCACAAAAATTCCACACCCCAGCTTGTAGGGGCAGAGAAAGACTGGAGGAAAGAAGTAGGAAAATCATGGACAAGATCACTGAGGCACAAAAGAGTCACCCTCTCTTATGTTCATACATTTTCCTAAGTTCATTTATGGCCTATACCCTGATGATCCCTAAAGCCCTATCGCCAACCCAGATCTCCATGAGTTTAGGATTATTTAACAGTATACTGCTGTGATACATTAATATTTGCCATTTTCATCTGATGACACATCTGTTAAGACATCTAAAACAATTTATTGAAAGCACAACTCCTTAAATCTTCTCCTTCTATCCCTAATTAGACTAAACTCTTGGACAAAAAAAGCACCATGATAAGGCATGACTATATTCTTAGAGCCTAGAAAAATGCAAAGTATATAAATATCTGAAGGACTGGTCTCTTACATATGAATGAGATGATTATGGTGTAAGAAAAAAAAGCAAACACCATTGGCCCAGTCTCTAACCTGGGTATTTCCCTGAGTAACTACCCTGTGTGATTCTGGCAAAGGAGTTGGGCCGAAAGCTCTGGTCCTTCTTATTTCACACACTACTTCATTTCAGTGATCAAAGGCAACATGAATACAAGAGATTTCTCAACTATTAGAAACAATTTGGAGCCAGCTATAGTGGCACATGCCTGTAATCCCAGCACTCTGGAGACTAAGACAGGAGGAATGCTCCGAATTCAAGGCCAAAAGACCCTGTCTCAAAAGACCAAAAAAAAAAAAAAAAAAAGGAAAAGGATTTAGATTTTATTTGGTAATTTGTTTTTGAAAATGTAGATAAACACAAGCTGTTCTTAGTGCTGATTGACAGACAAGCTTTTAGCATAGAATTTTCATCCTAGAATGAGTTTCCTTAAAAAAAAAAGTGTATTTTCAATCCTAAGCTTCTTGCTGCAGGTAGGTTCCATGGAAATGCATGAAAATGAGGCAGGGAAACAATTCCCAAGAGAGACTGCAGTTTCATTAAAAACACAATGGAAAAATTTTTTTCAAAGTTCATGAAGTAGTCTCCCTTTTGCTTAGTCATCCAGAGTGAAGTCAAAGGGTTCAAAGTCCTTCCGAAAGCGGCAAGCAAGTGTCTCTTCTTCTTCTTTGCTGATCTGACACTGCCTCCAGTCAGACTTCTCAGGAATATTAAGAATTGCTTCACTGGCCAGCACTTCCCTGCAGAAAAGAGCACAAACAAGCAAAAATGGAGGGAATTAGCTCCAAATGCCCTCCTCCTGTCCCACTCCAGCCAGAGAGTTCTCAACACCACGCAAAGCAAGTATGCAGACCTCTAAGACTGCTTATACTTTTCTCCTGCCCTGAGTGCCATCTCTGCCATTCTACTGAAATCATGCCCATACTGAATGACCAACTCAGATCCTACCTCTTTCCTGACCCTTCACTTTATCTTCCTTCTCTTGAACAACCTGAAGCTACATTACTGTTACAGTATGTAGAGCAGCAACATGGCATATGACCAGAAGGTCAGTTCTGGTGTCAGATCACAGGACTGGATTCCATTCCTTGCTCTGTCACTTGCTATCTATGCCTCGAACAGATTATTTCATCTCTGAGTCTCGGATTCCTTACCTACAAAATTTGAATAAAGGTACTTACTTTGTATGGTTTTGTGAAGCACAGAGATAATACAAGGGACTATACTAACTCTATACTAACTGTGAATTGCATTTTGCCATAGACTGTAGTTTTGTCATCTTAATTAGACCACGAGTTTGTTGAGAGCAAAGTTGGGTATCATACCCATCCTGGGTCTCATACCCATTTTAAGCCATCCTGGCTTAAAATTCTCTGCCTTTCCTTCTGGCACATGTACCTAAGCTCAATGTGAAGAAAATAACTTACTGTAACTCTCAGAACAAAAGAATAACATTATATATATATATTTCTTCTACTGTTTTATATTTTATTCATTTTTACTTATTTTGATATACTACAAATCAGTCTATGCATCTACTTGGTCCATTTTCTACTGTGAAGCTACAATAAATAGATTAGAAAGAAATCATCTAAGATTTCTACCTTCTCCCCCCCCACA